GTGTAGTTATTCAATGAAATACCATTAAGAAAATAAACAAATTCTAACTATATCCAATAATACATATGAAGCTCCAAACATATTCTTGAGTAAAAGCAGCCAGATACAAAGGATCTACAGTAAAAGACTCAAGGTATATAAAGTTCAACAAGAAAACTTACTTACTTTGTCAGAAGTTCAGATAACATCTACTTTTGGATGGGGGAAGAGTGTAGTTCACAGGAAGGATAAACAAGGGTAGTTTCTGGAGTATTATAATGTTCTATGTCTTGACCTGATAGGTAGTTACATGAATATGTGTATTCTGTGATAATTTACTGAGCTGTAAACTCATGAACTGTGTACTTTTCAGCAAGTTTTATAGTTTAGTAAATGTATTTTCATAACTACTTAATAAACAGAGAAGTAATAATAACAGGAATTTAAAAAGAAAAAGCAAACTGATAAAGTTATATCAACTGGGAACAACCGTTATGAGGCAATGAAATAACTGTTACGAGGCAAGGAAAAAAGTTTCATAATATAGTAGTGCTATTGCTTCACTAAAATCCTAAGGGCACTTTAATAGGTATAAAAAATACATAAAAGAAAATTTAAAATATCTGAAAGTAAATGAAAAAAATAATACTAATCCAACAATTTTAATTATGATATGACCCCTCCCACTCCTACTACCATACATACACATATGAGTAACTAGTACTTTGAGAGTATTATTCCTTTCCTTTCCTTCTAGCTTTTATTTTTTTTTGCTTATCATAGTAGCCTTGTATTGCCTTTCTCTGGATTTTGTTTTTACATGACAGAAATTTCTGTCTTTAAGCCACTATGATTTGGGGACTTTCTGTTAACAGTGAAAACCAATCATAACAAAGTCATCTTGGGAGAAGGACTTACCTGAATGTCTTAAGTGTCTGCCTGCATATTAACTCTTTAGTATTCGGTTTATAGAGGCAGACCCCAATGTGGGAGGGCCTGTGGTTGAAATAGTACCTGTGACTGACCAGATTGCTAACCCTTCCTAATTCAGAAGTTAAGCCTTACGGAGGACACTTACCCAGCGAGATGTAAGTTTCATTGACCAATTGATCTTTTTATCAGTAACAAAGCTAACATTTTCATCATATGGTTTTTCAACTAGCAAACATATATATAACATTTAAAAAATTGTTTTAATTATAATGCATAAGGAAATCTATATTTAGAAGTACTTAAATATGCACAGAGTTGAAAAACATCTTCTCACAGCAAAAAAGCTAATATAAAATAAATCCAACAAAGATTTTTCTTTAGTACTGTGATAGGACAGAATAAATATTAAAAAAGAAAAAAAAACAACAAAAAACCTTTACCTTAATTTATCATAAACCAAGCATTATAAAGAAAGAAAATTAAAACTATATTACATCTGATTTAGGGAACATAGGAAGACAGACGCAATCGTCATATGTTAGATTCTGTGCTATATATACATATTTTGTGATTTAATACTGAATGTCAGTAATGCTTAGAATCAAATGTCAAGAATGTACAGAACAGTTAAACAGATCAACTGTTGTAAAGGGAATCAAAAACTCTGTCAAAAGATCTACAGCCAAAAAAAGAGGCCGAGCTCATATGGTTATATTATAAGTGAGTTCTAGTTTACTCTTAAGGAACAGTTAACTCTTATGTAAATTACACTAGAGCTAAAGAAAACAGGACAGTAAAGGAACTTAACAAGTATAACTGCAAACCTGGGAAGACAGCCCCCAAATAAAAACATATAGCAATTTTTTATTTAATATAGAATGCAGAAAGCCCAAATACAATGCTACAGTTAAATGTAAATAGGGTATTTTTGAATTTATAAAATAAAAATTAAGAACAATGTTTTAAGAAAAGTTATAGAAAATTTATAATACCTTTCTTGAAGATGACTTTTTGCATAGCAATGAAACTCCAGAAAAGAGAGGAAAGATAGTATAGATACCACAGTATTTTAAAAAATGCTTTATAGAAAAAGGTACCATAGACTAAATTCAAACAGAAATGGCAGATGGGGAAAAAATATATGTCATATGTCCAAAGAGAGGGTAATATATAATAAATGAGAGTACATCTATACCACAGAATACTAAATGCAGGTGGTATAGACAATGTGGTAGATATATTGGCCTAAGAATACTCACAATATGTTTCTGAGTTATAAAATATAAATAATTATAAAATAATATGAATAGTGAAAGTCAAAAAATTCTCTATGTATGTCTTTACAAACAAAATAAAAATATCAGAAAGGCTATACAAATGTTAGAAGTAGTTAGAACAGGGCAGCAGGAGAGACAGTTATTATTAGTTTTATTTGAGACACCACTATTATTACTGAATGTATTATGTTATTTTTGTTATTTATAGGACATGTTCTCTCAAATTTTATATTATCAGCCAGAACTTTCAAAATGCTAATCATTTACCTATACCAAAAATATACACTAATTATAAACATATTCCTATATTTTATATATTTATATATTATAGAAATATGTGTTATATATATATTTATATATCCCTATATTTATATATATTTTTGTATATATATATTTTAAATATAAACATATCCCTATATTATGTATGTATATAAAACATACATATTCCTCAATTACAGATAGATGGAAATGTAGAGAAATAATAAACTTTAGAGATTTTCTGCTGCATCAGAATCAGCAGGTAAATTTAAAAACAAATATATGAGATACAGAAAATACACAAAGAGCAAGATGCAAAGGCCATCCTGAAAGTGACAGCGAAAGAAGATCTCAAGATACTAGCTACATATGAAGAAGAGAAGAAAACCAATGCAGACCGGAGCAGGTCATAAGGCTCCAGAACAGACTTCTACAAAAAACACAAAACAACAGCAACAACAGAAACACACAAAAACACTAATGAAGAACAGAGCAAAAAACTAGGCAAACAACAAAAAAACTGACTAATTCCAAAGAAAATGAAATCTGAGGGGGGAAAAGTACAATAATAATGTTTATGACTCAGTTCAACCCTAAGTAGCACACAAAAAGTAACAACACAAGCTGAGAATTCTGATTTAATCAAATGACAAAATTCTGTGTGTTGACGTAGGGATAAAAATTGTTTGTCTTAATGTGTGTATATGAGGCAGGAGAATAAAGAGAGCTTGTCAATCACATTCCATGGTCGGGAATTCAACAGGAAATAGGTGAACTAACAATCACAAAATCACAGGCATCCTTCTTAAAGAATTAAAACCAGAAGGATTTGATGCAATAATTGAAAAGTGTTATCACTGATTGGGGGTGGGGGGGACATGGTGTGATTACCGTTGTTTATAGTATGTATTATTAGTTGGCTCTTTGAAAGTATCCATGTATTAATAAAAGTGAAGCTTCCAGTTCAGTATAAAAATACCCAAACTTGACCAAAAATGACAATGGTAGTGTAAATGACAGGTAACTCTTCCACAAAGTATATGAACACTTTAGAAGACATGTATTTAGTGATTTTTAAGAAAAGAAATGTAGGTTACCTGGGGATAAGGCTAGAATTTTTAAACATAAAAGTTGTTTTTCTTTCTTTTTATGGTGAAGTAGTTTTCAAACTCTCTCATGGGATCTTAACAGAGAAGTGAACAACTCATTTTGGGACTAGTGTGCCAGAAATTTAGTTGTTTAGCATCTAAAGTCCTGTATCCCAGGAAATCCTTCCGTCCCAGGCACACCAAGATGCTTGGTCACTCTAATTCTAACCAGTCTAACGTGTTTACTGATCTAAGTCTATTATTAACAAGGCCTTTGTTTGTACTATATACTGAAAGAAATACTAAAAAGAAATTTCTTAAAGATCGAGTTGAAAGGTGGTAGAGTATAGAAAAGGGAAATTTTTAAATAGTAAATGTCAAGAAAGGGAACATATAACTTACATGGCTTGCTGACGTGAACTACACCACAATAAAGTTTGTTTTTTGTTTTTGTTTTTTTGTAAATAACAAACACTAAAGGGGAGGGAGGAGTGAAAAAAAGTGATTATTTTTGGTTAACCTCAAGTTGGGCTTTGCTGATAGCTCAGCCAGTTAAGAATCCGCCTGCAATGCATGAGACCCCCAGGAAGGTCTGCTAGAGAAAGGCTCGGCTACCCACTCCCGTGTCCTTGGCCTCCCTTGTGGCTCAGCTGGTAAAGAACTTGTCTGCAGTGTGGGAGACCTGGGTTCGATCCCTGGGGTGCAAAGATCCCACGGAGAAGGGATAGGCTACCCATTCAAGTATTCTGGTCTGGAGAATTCCACGGACGGTATAGCCCATGGGGTTGCAAAGAGTTGGACACAAGTGAGCTACTTTCACTAAAGAAAGTGAAAACCAAATGGAGTGTTTTCATCTTTCAAATATATAATAACAAATAATACTGTTATCAAAACATTGTTAACATCTGGCATAAGAGGGAAGAAAGATCTAGTCACAGAATAATGCATCAGCTTGATGGTCGCATGTTTTGAAGTAACTAAGATATTAAAATTAATTATGAGGAACATAATTAAGAAACATAAAATAATGAATGAATTATTTTAGAAACAACTAAATGAAGAAAGCAATTTAGTATGAAATGATAATAAAATCAAAGCCATACTAACTAATAATATTATCAGAGGAAAAAAAAAATTTACCAGAGGCAGATACTCAGTTCCTACTTTTGCTCAACAATACCCTGTATTTGCTTTAAATATATATACAATTCAAACTCCTGCTAACAAACCAGAGGTGTACTATTAGGGCAACTTGGGTAAAATGCTTTGTTTTTGTTGAAGTATCTGAATTAAAAAAATAATCAGTCTTAGATTCACATATAAAAGAAACCCCCAGAACATCAGGTGGTCATGGCTAAGATATGAAGAGAGAAATTACATAGGAAAACAAATTTAATTCAAGGAAATGCAACATTTTAAGAAGTTCACTTAAAAAAAATAAATAAAATGAAAATTTTCAGTGTACCTTAAAGAACCCTGCTTCAGGGCCACACCTGTCATACACACTCCGGGATTTACCTATGGCCATGATAATACCTTGCATGTTCGGTGTCATCATGATCTGCCATAAGGGATTTAAAGTAAGAACTTTTGAATGGTTATCATAGAGAAAAAAAAAATCACAAAAACAAAATAATTCCTTTACATGCAAGTTGAAAGTCCTTTGATTTTTACTATAAATCAAACATTGCACTTTTTTTGGGTAGCAATTGTGATCTGATATGCATGTAAGTATCTCTCAAAATCTTCCATACAGGGCCACAGCTAGCTGGCATGGTGCCTTTGTGCAAAGTGCAAAAAGGCATCCCGTCTGAGCTGAAGAATTTTTTAAAAGGCACCACACCTTCTTGACAATTTAGAAAAATGTGCTGCTCTGTAAGAGAACCATTCAGAAAAATCAATGTTCTTTTTATTTAAAAACATGCTTCTTCTTTAAGGCTTGGTGAGCTCAGCATAGGCTAAATTCCAGCTCCACTCTGCCAGCAGGCCAGGTACCCCTGCTTGTACAACCACACAATCTAAACATCTAAGCAGCAGCCCTGTATCCATATAACTTATTTTTAAGAGTTACAAGGCACATGCACTGCTAAACTATCACTCCAATGAATTAAAACACACACACACACAAACACAAAACTCTGCCAATAGCATAAGCACTTGCACAAATGATAGTGTTAAATAATTAATCACAATTCTATTTTTGTAAATGCCAGAAGGCTTACCCTAAAACAAGCACTAAGATGCTTGATCAACAAATTAACATTTTAAAAAACATTTTTAATACAACATGCCAGTTTCCATAATCTTCAAGTACCACCAACATAGAAATGGTTAAATAGAAAAATGTACTGCTATTAAGTATTAAATATTTAAGTATTTCTTTGTTTTCACAATAGTTTATTTCGTATAATGGATTTGAGCATCTGCAGATTTTGGTATCTGCTGGGGTAAGGGAGGGACCTGGAACCAATCCCCCTGGATACTGAGGAATGGCTGTATTCTTAAATGCTTATATTTTAAAATATCTGAAAAATGAAAATCTCAAGACACTATGAAGCTATAATATTGGAGCAATCAAGAGACTGCATCCATTACCTCTGATTCACTAGAAGTACTGCCCATAGCATATTTTGGATCACACACAGATAGTTGCAATGTATCTAACTATCTGCTTCAGAAAATCCTTCTGATCAGTTCCTAACTCACAAATCTACTTCTCAGTCTCTTTATGGCCCATGCTTTCTTACAGTGGCACAGTAATAGTAATGTCTTTATGACACCTCTGATTTTTGGTGATTAACGCATGAAAGTGAAGAGACTCATACAAGAGTTTAATTATAACCTTGAAGACAGTCTGAAAAAAAGTTACTTGGAAAAAAATTAATATACATTCAGTTCTCATCCATGCCAGTAATAACTAACAAACGATAGAATTCAGGATCTGTCTTCTCTGTTGTTACTATTCAGAAACAACTTTACTGGCTTCTCTCAAATACGGAAAATATCAAAATCGAAGAGTGTTAAGAAAAAAGTGGTAAAGGGGGGAAAAATCTGATGGGATCAAGACAACAGCAATTTTCACCTGGATTCCCAAGAACCATATGAAGCAAAAGTGACTCCATAATGTTAGAAAACTAAGTAGATGAAAATTAACAGTGGAGTGATAAGAAGAGATAAGATGAGGTGCCCAGTGTACAAAATACTGATAGGTATATAGCAATGCTGATGAATTATTCAGTTCAGTCACACAGAGGTTGGGAAAAAACAAAACCAAACCAACCCCAGTCTGCCATATTGCAGGCAGTCTCCTGCACTGCAAGGGAATTCTTTCCCAACTGACCCTCCAGGGAAGCCTATCTATTTACTAATATACACCACATCAGACTGCAGGATCTCCTGGTAGGAAATAGTGGGCAAAGTATAATTGATACTTCAAGCAAAACAGGAAAGGAGAATAAAAGTTTTAAGTGCTCAAAAAATTTTTGCTATTTAATTAAACAAACTTAATTAAAACTTACCAACCTGAGAGTAAACAAATTCTGTGTGTGAACAAAGGAACTAACTCTTGCAATACAAAGCTGCTATTTTGCAAATTCATAAGCTTTCTAGTTACATTTTCACTTGAAATTCAAAGTATTTAATACTGTTAGCAATTGGTAAGGTAATTTCAGACTGTGGGTGGCAAAGCTGTATGTTATGCGGCAAGAGACACAGTGTGAGGGTGCAGGCATGCCCAAAGCACTTGCATTGAAATAGCAAAAAAACAAGTGGAAATAGTGCCAAGGGCTACAATAAAGGTACCTCATCATCATAACCCCCCTCCTTTGACTCAATCATAAATTTCCCTACATGAGGAATCTCCACCTCTACAACTTGCTGGTTAGAAGGTGGCTGGCTTGTGGTATTTTCAGGTTTCTGCAGAAAAAAATCATTAGTGTGAACATTAGAAAAGAGAACAATGGAAGCACTCAGTTTAAGTGCATAGACTCTTGATCCTTTTAAAACACCTGCATTTGTTTAGTAGAAAATAAAACCATCTAAAGTTGAACATCAAAGCAAATGCATTAATTCAGTAACAACACAAGATCTCTAGCTTTTGCTTTGCATCTAATATTAAATTAAATTTAAAAATGTTTTTTTTTTCTCACAGAGCACCTTGGATTCCAAATTTGTAGAAACAATTAATACTCAAGTTGTATATCCTACTGCTGTCTTTATTGATGAAAGATTTATTTATTTTTAATTCTAATAACTCTATACAGGTTTTTTTGCTATTTTCATCAAAATAAGATATGACCTCCTCCAACCCCAGGACAATATGTAAGTTTTCCTTCTCATGATTTACCATCTATCCTTTCTAATAACTAATTATATTGCCACTTAATATCCATAATCTCTTGTGCCTAACTCAGGTGCCTAGCACCTGGTATAATATATTTACACCAAGAGTTCTCAATGAATTCTTGTTTTTGGAAATGCTACTAGAAAGTGATATCAATTTTAACAACTCAGATTTGTTTTTTTGTTAAATTCTATATACTTCATTAAACCAATGGAGTGGAAGCCAGTGTAAAATCCAGAAAGTTCACTGAAAGACACTAATATGGTTCATTCAAAATACTGTTCAGATTTCACAAGGATCCTTTTTTACTGAATAGATGACTACCATATTCACTATTTATCTGCAAACAAATTTCAAGAATACTAACAGTGCTTGAAAGCAGACTGCTTAACTAATTTAAAATTGCACCTTTAAAGTTTTCCTACACAAAAATCAACTTAGTTTTGACACCAAATAAACAGAAAATATTAATGAAAACGGAGTGGTCTTACTGCAGTTTAAAATACAGGTAAATTTTAGTAACGTGAAGATTTTCTGACTTTTTCAAAGTATATATGCAGAAAAAGTTTAATTAATAAAATAATAACAGTGGCCAAGACTGGACTATTTTTTAAAATGAAATGCTATTTTTAACCACGACATTTTCAGGAAAGGTTACTTTTGCTTTGTTTGAGTCTTTGACTTTTCAGGAGGATATAACCAGCCTGCCTGGTTGTCATGATGAGGAGACAGTATTCAGCTAACCTGAAATCTGATACATTAATTGCTGTTCTATAAATGATAGAAATTATAAACATTATACTATGATGCTTCTTGGAATTGCTTATATTTGAATAATCTTAACTCAATATACTAACGCATAGCCTACAGAGATAAGCTTGGCCCATGACATTTAATTAAGAATTTATTGAGAGAGAGAAAAAATAATAAAAAAATAATTAAGAGAGAAAATATTGTCCTAGGTTTCCAGTCACAAGAGTGAAATATAAGCAGGTAAACTAAGAAATTTGTCTGGACTTTTGGTGAAAATTTTCTCACAAACAAACCAATTCAAACCAATAATATATTGAGAATAATAAATATAAATTTAAGGAAAGTATCAACTAGGAAATGCACTTCTTAGAATACTGATCTTTACATAACAACGTCTTTCCTTTGGAAAAAATAACTGCATTTAGGAAAAACAAATGTTTTGTAAACCTTTCCAGTTACCAGAAAACAGTTTAAACAGCATATTATTATTAATTATTTGGGTGAAAGTTGAAAAGGAAGCAGCTTTCGGCACACATTCTGTAGTATTTCTCATCAAGCTTAGATATCTTAAATTACCATAAAATTTTTCATATAAAGAATTTTAGGGTTCACTGAAATAAAGTACAAGGATATTCAGGAGCTTCCCCGGTGGCTCAGGCGTGAAGAATCTGCCTGCAATGCAGGAGCCCCAGGAAACCTGGGTTCAATCCCGAGATCAGGAAGATCCCCTGGAGGAGGGTATGGCAACCCACTCCAGTGTTCTTCTTTGGAGAATCCCATGGACAGGAGCCTGGTGGACCACAGTCCATAGGCTCGCAAAGAGTTGGATACAGCTGAAGAGACCGAGCATGCATGCCTAAGGATATCTTTCCCTTTTACGGTCACATCCTCTATGAACACCTTAATAAAGGCTGAACTTAAAGGAGGTTAAAAATAAATTCCTCAGTTAGTAAGCTGCAAAATAATTAGATCACAAAGATTTTAATTAATTGCCTGAAATCTATTAAATACCCAATTTGTTAAAAAAAAAGTGGTCCCATTAAAGGGTGACTAGAAAGTTATATATTTTCAACCCCTTTGGATTCTTCAATATGCTCACAGCTTTTAACCTAATAACTCCACTATGGAAATCTAAAGAAATAACCAAAAATATAGAAGAATTTTCATTTTTTAGCAGTCTTTTTAAAATCATGTAAAAGTATAAATAAATATATAAGAAGGGAATGAGTAAGTAAACAAGAATTTGATCACTCAATGAATTATTATTAAGTCATTAAACATTTTTTACAAATAATCTGCAACCGGAGGAAAGTTGTTTAGTGACAGAAAAATTAAAATGTAAAATTGTATATGCAATAGTAAATCAACTACAAAAATAAATCACCAATCTGTATGTAAAAATAAGAATGAACGAAACACACTAACTTATTAAGTGATTAACTTTGGGTAGCGGAATTATGCATGATTCTTAGAGTCTACTTTTTGTATTTTAAAATTTTCTAAAATATTTCATTTAAAATTAGAGATTCTCTTCTAAAAAGCAAGCTGTCTAAACATCTGGAGAGTATCTCTTTATGGCTTCTGTGATTCTAAGCTTCTCAGGAAATTTTTCTTAACACTAATGTCAAAACTTTATATACTGTACATTTGTGAAAAGGTTAGGATTTAAGTAACAGAAGGAAATAAAGAGGTACTTAAGGTCTACACTATATGCCAGGCACTTAAAAAAATGATCTTAATTCATCCTATAATCACCTCCATTTTATATTTTTAAAAAACTTGGTTTAGAAAAATTAAGCAACTTATTCAAGTTTGCATAGCTTGCAGGAAATAAAACTAATATTAAAAACCCCAGGACTATTTAACCCCCAAAACTAAAGACTCTTTGCAATTTACTTTCTTTGCTGTTATTCAGTCACTAAGTCATGCCTCAGTCTTTGCTACCCCAAGGACTGCAGCATGCCCAGGCTTCCAGTCCTTCAGTATCTCACCGAGTCCACCAAATCGGTGATGCTATCCAACCATCTCATCCTCTGCTGCCCTTAGTTTCTAAGGCATACCTTTAAATGAGAAAACCCAATAATTTTAATGATCCTAAACAACTGACCATGAGACCAAGAAACACTGGTCATACAGTCATGATCAACATACTCTTAGACATGGTGCAGGATTTATACAGACAATGGGACCAGCTATTGGTTTTTTACTCCAGAAGATAAACCAAATTGAAAAATATTTATGCTAGCTAATCTATTTTCTCAATGCCATCCTTTTTCAACTAAAGGTGAAGCAGTAGGCTGCTACCTTGTAAGATAATAACCACATGAATAAACTATCTAAATTTAAGAGCTAATTTCTATATATTTAAACTGCACCTGATTAGCCAAACTAAAAAAAAAAAACAAAAATACCCCCACCACCATGATTCTACATTAAGCGAAGTAATGTTTCCACCTTTTTGATATCAGTTAAAAGGATGAAACTTATCAACCATAATGCAGACTCTAACAAATAAAAATCCTAACTAGCAAAAGCCATAGCAAAAGATGTTTTTAAATCAGGCAAAAATATTTCTCCCTGGAATTTACTTCTGTGCTTTTTCTTCCTTCCTAAGGTGTCCTCTTCTATCATTCACTCAGATCTACTAAAAAAAACATTTTCCAGGAAGTGCTTTAGAATGAGCAGTTCCTCAAGTTTTTTATAGTCTCTAGGGTATTTGCAGAATTTGGAATAATAATAAAAAGCTATATTAATACTTTTTTCATGGTAAGAAGATATGTAATAAAACTTTTTCAAAAAGGAAACTAAATTAAAAAATAATTTATCAAACTTTTTCAAAAAGGAAACTAAATTAAAAAATAATTTATCAATATCACTTTGCTCAGCAAGATATAATTAAAAGACTATCCTATTAATTGAACATTTTGGTTAATATGGCCTTATAATATTAAAGGCCACACTGTTATTAGAGGGTTACTGTTGAGATTAAGCTCAATGAGCAGAGATTATGTGTTGAAATGTCCTCTTTTCTTTTGTTCTCTGGGTGGGCATCTTCAACCCTAAAATTAGCCACTGTGAAATCTATACTAGAGCTGTTTGTGCTTACTAATGAAAAATAAATACCTATAGCAACTAAATGGTTCTATAGTATGAAATCCTTGAAACATCTCTCAGAATATCATATTCACTGAAACATAATAAAATACTATTATGTTCAACTTACTGTTATTAAAAGACACAGCTAAATACTTGAAAATTATACTAAAGGAGGTTAATAATGACAATTTGACACAGGGCACTTGAAATATGCATAAACTGTTTTATAATATCATATTTATCCTGCTAATATTACTCTAACCTAGACTATCTGGAATTTTGTTAAACATAGTCCATGGAGCAATGAAAATTATACCCTATATTCCCAACTATCCTAACGTAAGACTAAATACAGAAGGCAGGGTGGGAGGGAGGTTGAGGGGAAAGAAAAATAATGTTAAACTCTGTACTTCTCTTTTGAAGTTCCAAATCAAATGGCCAGTTTGGCCTATGATTATAATTTTTCATAATTCTCTAACAGGAAGATAAAAACTATTTTTTTTTTAAAAGAAGCATTTAAAAAGGTATAGCTGAGGAAATTACAACCTGGGCAGTTAGGTGACACCTACAACCACTCATGTTCACAGCAGAGGCATCCCTTGGCCAGGTCTCTCTCGACTCCCAGACAGGTCACTCTCCTTACACAGCTAAGAAACCTCGTGAAGGTGGATGGGTATGCTCAGAGAGCTAAAAGAAAAATTCTTACCGACTGCAAAACTGTTTCAGGACTTTTATCTTCATGCTCATGTGATGCCTTGGTAATTATTCGAATGGTTTCTTCTTTCAAGTGCTTTGAGAAATCACTTCTTGATGGCTGCTCTAGATATTCTGGTTCTCCTGCTTGTGCTTCATGAGAAAAGAATCAATTGTATATCTAATATAAATCAGTGAGTCTAGACTAAGATGAATTTCTTATTTACTTCTCATTTGAAGTTATACATTAATTTTACTTTATTGACTCTTAAAGTAATACATGCTTCAAACAACAGCACTTCCTCCTCCAGAGTTTACCAAAAGAAAAGAATCAAATCTCCAGATAAGTCAAATAATTACTGAAGAAAGCACTCATTATAGTTTATGCTAAGAAATTTATTGTAAGTTTTTTGTTGTTGTTGTTAGGACAAGTATCAAAATCTCACTTTGGGTCACCACAGAGCACTGGGTTGAGCTCCTTGTGCTATACAACAGCTTCCCACTAGCGAGCTATTTTACACATGGTAATATATGCTACTCTCTCAATCCATCTCACCGTTCCTTCCCTGCTGGTCCACCAGCCTGTGTGGGATGGGGGCTGGGGTGGGAGGGAGGGAATGTATGTACACTCATGGCTGATTCACCCTGCTGGAGGCAGAAACCAACACAGGACTGTAAAGCAATTATCCTCCAAATAAAACTGAAACCTTAACAAAAACAAATCTCACTTATGTTCTGAGTTCTAAATCCACAGATGCAACAATGTACTCTGAATGTCCACTCGGTATTTGACAGACAAGCCCAATATTTATCCTTATGCAACCTATGAGGCTTTATATAAGTGGGCCTCTGTCTTTCTCTCCATCACCTGGTGTCCTTTGCTCAAACAGAAACACATACTAGCCTTTTTCCAGTTTATCCAATACACCAGAGAGGAGGCTAACTGTCCCACTTCTGGATCTTTCCTCATTTTCTTCCCTTTGACTGTTAGGTCAACAACCCTCACTCCTCCACCTAATGACTTCTATATATCCTTTTGCTTAAATGCTGTTTCCGCATGGAAGTATTCCCACTGACTCCGTTTCTAGGGCAGGGCTGCTCAGCCTCAGCACTGCTGACATTTAGGTCAGATGATTCTATGGTGTGGAGGGCTTTCTTGTGTACCCAGGCATCTAACCACTAAATACCAGTAGTACTGACCCTCTCTCAGCTGTGACAACGAGCAATGTCTCCAGGATTGTCAAATGCCCTCTGAAGGTCAGAATCACTCCCAGACAAGAATTACTGCTCTACAGTAACTTATACTTTCATTTTAATAGCACTTTCCCACAATTATAGCTTCATTACTTTGTTTCAAGCCTATATTCCCTGCTATACTGTAAGACTCTCAAGAGCAGGGGGGTTATCTCCCTTTTGTATTCCTATTTCTTCCACACTGAGCATATAATAAGCCCACAATAATTTAATGAAACAAATGAGTTAATAAACCAATGGAAGGGTAAAAGGAATAACAATGTACTCTAAAATATCACACAATGTTACCAGGATAGGTTGAGTTCCTGCTCAACCAACTGGTGGGAAACAGGACTATTGTCATCCTTTCCAATATCTGATTAATTTAAAACCTTTCTCAAAGTGAAATATTATTAAAAGAGAAATACTATAATTTCAACATAGATGCATGAGTATTCATTCATCCACTGAATTTTAATTAAGTGTCTATGTGCCAGGCAGTAGGCTAGGCACTGGGACTCAGTGTTAACAAAGTGGCCAGTCCCTGTACCCATGAAGTTTACAGTTAACTATGGAAAAAGTTATTAACCAAAGAATTACACGTATGAACTGTGACATCATCATAATACATTGTAGGAATAAAATGGGGCAAGGGTAACTTAAGATTATGGGGTATGGGATAACTAACGTTTCAGTTGAAACATAATGAATTAAGTGGAAGAATGAAAAGCCCATGAAGTGAGCATGAATTCAATACCAAAGACTTCTAGTGTGGTCGAACTACAGACTATAGTATAAGATGGGAGAAAGGGCAAGAGATGACGCAGACAGGGATAAAATGGGGGCCTTTGAGTCATGAAAGTTTTAAGGGCAAAAGGAAATAGATAAACATTCTAAATACAATGACAACATGCTGAGTTTAAAGAAAATTATTCTGGCTACATTGTAAAGAAAATAAGATTAGAGAATAAAGTAAAACCAGAAATCAGTAAAAGTACTAAAACAGCAACATAAGCTCTTTATCTTGCTTACAGAGCAATATTAGCAAGAAATGACTGTGCTTTTGGATAACAGAGACAGTGAGAAAAGGAGAATTGGTTAGATTCAAGATACATTTTAGACATAATGGTTTGAAGGCTGACGTGCAGTTGTCTTATATTTTGGATATGAGTCATTAGGATAATGGAAGTGAAATATACTCTGACAAGGAAAACTAAAGGAAGAAATGATAACAATGTTTGTGACAGGAAAAGAAGTCCAAAAGAAGTTTGTCTCATTTCTCGATTTCCTAAGAACTGAACTGTTCTTTCAATGTGCCTGTATGACAGAGAAAGTTAAGAAAATCTCAGCCACTACAACTCCAGTTTAGCAGAGTGTCTGCTTCCTGAAGGTTTCATGATTAAGTGGCTTAAGTCAGCTATTTCAGGCCTTAACAGAGACAAACTTCTTGTTGCTGAAGCTTACATTACTTGTGTTTCCCCCCTCTGTCTCTTCTCATTATAACAGATAAAACATCAATACTTGACAGTAGGATGTGAGCTTAATGCAATGTGGGTCAAGAAATTCATCTGCTAGGACACTGGGCTAAGCCAGGGAAACCTGGACAGTGCAGGTAAATAAAGCTCTTAAGAGCAGAAGCAGTTTTATTTGATCAACACAGTCAAATATACGTGGGTCCCCAGGGTTAAGGTTTCCTTCTTCATAGGGATTTGAGTCCAAAAACCTTATGTGATGCTGAATGATTCTGCCTAAATGTCATACAAAACTATTTCCTCTAGAATTTTCTCTGTGCAAATATATTCCATGGAACTTGTATGAGTGGTGCTGTAATCACAGTAGGTGAACCTACAAGGATTCAAGTTCTGGGAGTTTGGAAACAAAAGTCCCAACTTCATTCTCAACATGTTTGATGAGCATGTGCCATTTTCAGTACTATGCTAGGTATTAATAATGTTAAGAAAAAGTGACATAAGATTTACTCACTTCAAGGAACTCTCAACAAAATCAAATAAATGTATACTCCATTACAATACAAAGTGCTAAGTGGATTGGGATGGGGAATACATATAAATCCATGGCTGATTCATGTCAATGTATGACAAAAACCACTACAATATTGTAAAGTAATTAGCCTCCAACTAACAAATGAAAAAAAAAAGTGCTAAGTGCTGTAACAGACTTATGCACAAGATCCTAGAGAAGCACTGTGGACCCCCACACACACTTGGAAAGATGTTGCATGCTAAGAAAGACTTCCTAGAAGAAATGCCAACTGAGCTAAGTCTTGAAGGATTTGTAGAGAAGATTATCTTGTAGATGAAGATGAGCATTCTAGGCAGAAGGAATAGCATAGCAAAGGCACTGTAAGGACAGATAAAAGATTAATAAATTCCTTGCTACTGCTGCTGCTAAGTCGCTTCAGTCATGTCCGACTCTGTGCAACCCCACAGATGGCAGCCCACCAGGCTCCCCCATCCCTGGGATTCTCCAGGCAAGAACACTGGAGTGGGTTGCCATTTCCTTCTCCATCCTTGCTATTAATGAGCCTTTATAACGGTAAGCAAGACAAAACATAACTGGTACTGAGAATAGATCGGGACTAGAATAAGGGGGGAAAGACAATAGTTGCTACAGGGGTAATTAGGGAGATTCATAATGATTTGGGACTATTAGGGGAAAAGTGGACAAAGTTTCAAGAATAGTGAGGCTAAGAGGACATTTTTCAAATGAGGGATACTTCATGAGCAAAACCATAATAACAGGAAAAGACCCTACAAGCAAGAGTGATAGGGAACAACACGGTTTAGATGAAACATGCTTATAGAATAATGGTCTTGGAAGAATTACAAGGGATTCAGATTTAATAGAGGGTAAAATTGAAAAGAAAAGAGGTTTTAAGTTTATTTTGTCAAACCAGAAGAGTAAAAGACATGTTCACCAGAACAAACAAATAACCAGAGGAGGAAAATAAAAAGCTCATTCCACTACCCAGAAAAAAATACTTAAAGAGCACTGCTTCAAAGAACAGCAGTCCATGTTCCTTATAGAAATGCATTTAAAGTCAAAAATTCCCCCAAAGCCGTCTATAAAAAGCCATGCTAGGCTGGCTGGCTAGAATATCAGAAAAACTTTCAAAGGCTTCGGATTCCTAGATAGCACCACAAACAGAATTCTCAGTAATGTGGGAGGTAGAGGCTTAGGAGCCAAAGTTAAACCCACAATTTATCTAAGAAAAAGTCACAACAGCACCACATAGTTTTGATTTCTTTCCTAAGGTACAGCTATCTGGGCTAAACTTTTAAAATGGCTGCACTCCCATACACTGAAGATCACCTCTAGGAAACTCATTATTGCAATTTCCAAAGGGAATGAAATCAAATCAGAAAACATTTAAGGGGCATCTATCATGTGCCATTTATTAGGTTACACTCTGGAGATTTAAATAAAAACATGACTTGGTCCCTGCTTTAAAGGAACTTAAAATACTGAGGCTACTGAAAATATCCTGAAAATACTGAGAATGTTGTCCATTCTACCAGATCTTACTCCTAGGAACCAACTGTACTTTCCTTGAATATCAACTTATTTTTGACTTGCAGACCATTTTTACTTCATTTTTTTCTACCCTTATTTTTTGGTTTCAGTTTCTTTTTTGCTTTTAAAATTGGAGTATGCTATATAGATATACTGTAAGGACTTCAAATAGTTTCTGAGTAGATACGAGTAACACAAGCAAAATAATAATTCAAGCAAAGTTTCCTCTTCCTCAGAATACTGTGTTATTCATATAGCCTAGAGCCATGATGCTTAACCAGAGGTACACTCAGAATTATCTGAACATCTTTTTAAAAATACATACTCTGGACCCTTGCTCCATCCATAGATTCTGATCCCAACAAGTCTTAGCTGGTATGTCCTCAGAAACAGTCTCCCAGGTAATCCTGATGTATACACCAGTAGTAAAGAACTGCTGGCTAAATCTCTAAGCATAAGTGTTAAGGTAAATATTCTTTTGCAGATTAGAGAGGCAGCATGACACGGATTGAAGAAAACTTTCCTATCACTTATTACTTAGTTTCAATAAGACAATGAATCATGCTGAAGAAGTGATGCCTATGGATTTTTTTTGGTTATCTGTTAGCAAAAGAGGAACGAATACTCATTTAACTAATGCTATATAAATTAATATTCTTATTTGGAATATCATTCTGAAGAAACTGGATTTTAATAGTTCTTAGGTTATAACTTTATTGAAAAGATTTTCAGGGAGAGAAGGAAAATCACTCTGATGGATTTTATGAAGATCTCCTTTTATTACTTCCACTAGTCACTCATAATCCTAATGTACACCTGAGAAATAAATAAAGGTTGTCTATGATATTATGAAAGTATTATATTAAATTATTTGAAAACTGTAGGGAGAAATAGGAAAAAAAATGGCATGAGCATTAAAGTAAAATTTCTCTGCTAATAAAAGGAGATAAGTAATTCCAATGAACAATATAATAGATTCTCTTATTCAATTGTGTATGTTAAATTGCCCTGCAATGGAAGATAGATTTCTTAATGTGATATATAAGATAAGATAGTGGTAGAACTCAATTTTTAATCAATAATCTCACACACATCCCAAACTTATAGATTTACAATATTCTATTTCTATTAACTCAAAGTGCCTATTTCTAGCAATTCTATAGAGGACACACAGTTTTCCACTGAGGCAGTATTGTCATTGCCTTCTAAAAACTCAGTCCTGACAATAACTATCTTAACAGTTACATGTGAACTTGACCTTTACCATCTCTTTATTTTTTAGTTATTCTGGCTCCTTTCAGCTGCATTTCTCTTCAAGTTGGTCTTTTTCTTCCCCCCAATACTAAAAAGAGACTTGAATGCACCTGCACAATGCCCACTACTGAATTTTTTTAAACTTACAAAACAGGATATAAAGTGTGCAACAGGAAGTACTGATCAGAATAAAAAGGATATGGAGCATATAGATGTGGCCTTTTCATAGAGAGGGAATATAACAAATGTAAATGATGGGGAAAAGCTGGCAAGTCCTGTCAGATAGGAATATTAGTGGGGAATATGTCTTAGTTTGACTTAGTAAAAATAGAATGTGTTAAGTCTGTAAATTTAGATACTCTTGTGAGAAACAGAAAAGATGAAAAGCAGACTGTATAGAATTTAATATTGTGATGCTACAAAATATAAGTGAACCAAGAATTGGATTGGAGCTTGGCCGATGACTAGAGGACTCACCTTCATCTGAGTGCTCAGGTGCCACTAACATTTATGCCATTTATGCAGCCCTGTCCTCCCACCAATATGAACAGTCACAAGCAAATGGAGGTGTAAAAAATTAAGTGAAGAATAACAGAGTAGCTCCATCTTGGGGTAAGTTCTAGGGAGTAATTTGGAAGCAGATAAAGGATGAAATCACAGAGATGGAACTAACTCAAAAATGACAGGAACTATAACAAAGTTACTACAGTTATTTGAACTCAGAAACCCCTTGATAGCTACTGAGCTATTTTATTTTCTACGAACATGGACAAGGTTACTATAATGAAACTGCACTGTTGTAAAACTATAGAGTTTCACCTGCTCTATCCATTGGCCTTTGCTGTACGTGAAGAAAGCGCAGTCCTCATCTGGTATAGCTCACCAAAGACCACAATGGTGGTACTGAGAGACACTGTGCTGCACACTGCAGTTATGCATCGACATGGCAGTGTAATACCGTTTTCACAGTCTTTTAAAAATGCTGAATCAGTGCTGCTTAAAATCAAGATCAAGGACTCAACTATTCAATCTGCATGAAAATAAGTTGCAAGTCTGGAAAGATTTGTCTGTGCCTATTCAGCAGTCACCACAACATACTGTAGTCTTTCAGATCTCTCATTCAAAGAATAAATCTGTCTAAAGTTCAAAGGAGAATGCTGACTTATCTAGGTAAAGGTGCATAGGAATCTGTCTGTAAAAGACAAAATTAAACAAACACTGAGAATGCTTTCTTAAAAAATAAAAACAAAACACACAACCTTACAAAAAAGGGTGATTCAAAATGATCCACTCAGAATAAATTTTAAAAAAAAAGGACAAATGAGTTTAAGGAAAAGATCTAATTTATCTCTTCTCATTTCCCTAACCACTAAACAGAAATAGTACCTTCTTTACAATACAAAATATCATCTTAAATTATATTCACAACTTAATCATAAGATGAATCTTAAAAAAACCATCGGACATTGCATTTTCAATTGTGCTAGAATGTATTTTATTTTTGTAGTTCTTAATATTTCATTGATTTCATCAGCTAATAATTATAGAATTGTTAAAATATTTATATTTTATATACTTCTCATTTGTTTTATAGATTACACAGATTTTCTTCACTTGGAATATATTTAAAAATTTAGTTGCTGCTAATCTGTCTTTTAAGAATTCTAAAAAGAATCAAATAAATACTCTACATTAACTATTTACCAGTAGTGTTATTTTGCTTAACTATGAAATTACTAAAGTGTATTCTCTTGAAAGCTTTAGTGAATTAGCAGTTGCACAGTTTTTCTAGGTATCTTGCCAAGAAAAGTCAGTCAAAGTAGGCAACATACAAAGACAGAGAATTAGCAAAATCATCTCATTCAGCTTAAAAATGGTATATATGTGTATATATAGTGTTATATAGCAAAGGGGTAAACTAAGTTGTTGCCTTTTATTTCTGAGTGATGGAATTTCAGATTTTTTTAATTGGAGTCTCCAAACTCTAGGATAAAGTTTTTTGCTCTTGCTTTTTCAATAAGCATATCTTATTTTTACAATAATTATCAATAATAAATATGAAATTGATAAAATAAAATAAACATGGACTAACCTGTTGTCACAGAAGACTCAGACTCTCTCAGTTTCTGAGATGCTAGAAGTTTTTCCTGTAAGGCTTTCTGAGCAAGTTGTGCATCCCATTCTTCTAGTTCTTTCTCAAATCGCTGGTTGTCTTCCTCAACAAAATCTCTTAAGTCGGGGGGTAGTGTTTCTATTCCAACAAGGGCCTGTCCAGTTTCTTTATTAAACTCCTCTGCAAATCATATTTCAAAAACTATTATAAAATTAAGGATTAAAAGAAAAATGCAAAGTTCAAAATAGAAGGTATTTCAAATTATTACCATCTAGCAAATCAATATTACGTATATATTAAAAGAAAACTCAAACAAATGCTCAGAAAAGCAAGATGCAAATATGTGATCATCCATTATAGGTAATGTTCTCAGCTTTTATTTTTATTTGTAAGAGTAAAAAAAATGAAACAAGACATAAAGCCAAAATTGTTGCTACTCAAACACTGACACAGTACTACTTTTTCTACTATAAAATACCAGATACTTGATTATTCATGAAGTAAAACTTACCACAAAATGACAAGTAACACATAACCTCAAAGCTCAAAACAGAACTAAAATTCCTTTCCATCTGAAGCAGTTAAGTATAGCAATATATTTATATACAATTTGAAATCTAATCAATATAGCAAAGTTTTTTAAAAAATCACATAAATAGAATCTAAAAAGGTTACTCAACCTCTACCACACACACGTAAATTAAATTTTAGCTTTTCAGTCATAAATCCAGCAAGTTTTGCTGAATGGTTAAATACAAAAGGAAAGTTGATTTCTATCAGTCTCAACAAACCTTTATTATGTGCTTTCTTTTTTATATGCAAAGTCTATATTAGAATATGAAAAGTAAAAAGATTAAGACCATGTCATAGCATGACATGGTCCCTGTCTGTAAGCAGGTCAGAGTGAAGTGGGGAAGGCAAGCCAGCATATAATTCCAGCACAGTAAGTGCCCAATACAGGTATGCCATGAGAAGACAAGAAGGGATACTTTCTGGCAGGTTCAAGGAAAACCTGGCAAGGCAGATGACACCTGAGTTGAATCTTGAGATGAGCAGGAATTAGGCAAAAGAAGAAACAAGATCATCATTGCCAAAAATAAAAAACATAAGAACACATTGATAAAAATATGTGAAATGATTTGGTGTGATCCAAAGAAGTTAAATATCAGTCAAGTATATAAAGTTTGAAATGGAGAGTGGTTATAAATGAATCTGGAGAGACAATTAGAAGCCAGATAATGGAGGCTTTACAAGTCAGGCTAAGAAGTCTGAAGATGAGTCAATGTGTGAAACAGCCATGAAAGGCATTTTAGCAAGGAGAAAAAGTCCAAGTTATATTTTATAATAGTTACTATATAGTTAACTCTGAATACAAAATATATCCCAATTCTCAGCCCTGGTCACATTGCTTTTCAATTCCAGTTTTCTCACTTAAAATAACCCAAAAGCATTTCCAAATATATCCATCACCTTCTTGAGTAAACTACACTTAACTAATCACACTGGAGACCAGAATCAAATTAAAGAGCTACTTATTTAAAAATATATATTGCCCTATATATTTCATATTCTTACCTTGTATTAAGAACTGCGGTTTGTCATTTATGTACATTAAACAGTATGCACTGGCATTTCTGTAACCACCGAAAGAGTCCCTCACTAGCTCTTCCCAGGATGATTTTGTTACAGCAATATCATTGTACTTCATCCACCTGCTCTCACGGTGATCAAAAATGTATGCCCAGTAGTGTCCGGCATTAGCTTGACCTTCATGAACTAAAACAGCATGTAAACGATAAGGAACCTAAACACGAGAACAGAAGAGTTAAACTGCAGGTAAGTGCTCTATTATAACCACCTCTTGAAACTCACAAATCATCTGATGCGAGGGTTCCCTCGAAGCATATGTTTTTTAACAAGAGTAAATTGGCTGGGATTAGAGTTTTGAAAAAATTAAACTATGAAATAAAAAAAGGCAGGGAAGGGGGAGGATAAGTAAACTAAGGACAGGTAAGACAGACAGATGTGTAAATAGGATGATTTTCAAAACTCTGGAAATATATTTGTTGATTTATTTATCTTTAGAATAAAGAATTTATATGAATATTTATACATTTAGCACATGATTTGTTTAAATTTTCATAATTATAAATTGGTGGGTAAGTTCAGCAAAATGGCATATATAAAGAGCCATTATATAAATCTCAGAAGTTTAAATGTAACTGAGCCCTTTACCTTCTCACATAATCTTTGTATCCTTAAACAACCATATAATTTCTCCCATATAATTTCTTAAAAATACTGAAGCACTTTGAAAAATTTTAATAAATTTTATTATAAAAGAATAAAATGTTAGGTAATACAGAAAAAATAATATAAAAATCTTAAAGTTCAGCAATTTCATAACACAGAGTATGAGAATTAAGCTAACATAAAGATAAAATATGTAAATAATTTAGATAATGCTTACTAGCTCAAAATTCAACTTACTTGGATCATAGATTTGTCAGAGTACATTAGCTCAATTGTGCGATGGATTCTAGATATGCTTTCCTGTAAATCTAAGGACAGAAGATGCCATTTAATGATCAAAATCAAGTATGTTTCTACTGAGATTTGTAAGGTAGGGAATAAAGGTTTTCCTACAAATATGCTAGAGGAGTAAGAAAAAGTTTCTAAAACTGTTCTTAAAAACATTACTATTCAGAATCTGTATAAAATGAATTCAGTTCTCCTTAATAAAAAGATGCAGCACAAATGAGAAATTAAAACCAAACAAATACAGTTTATTTTAACAACAAACAGAGCCAAAAAACCTGAATTTTGTTCAAATTTATAAAAGAAGGTTCCAATGAAAATTAAAGTTAACCCCCCACACATATATGTATAAAACAGGAAAACTTTACAATGAAATAAAGTAACTTCATCATATATCACACACACATATACATGTAACTGAATAAAAATCCACTATAATCACCAATGGAAATAAAGTTGTGAGACACCCATTAGCTGCTATTTCTACTTCAAGTAGAAATCTATCCTACACAATTACTTACAAGGCAGGGATGTGCACCACTATATTACCCATAATTATTTTTTAAAAATCAGAGACAACCTAAATATCTGTCATACAGTATAACCACATTATTCTATGAAGCTATTAAAAAGAATCAAGCAGAAAACATCAAAGCCTACCAAAAAAAAAGAAGTAACTTTAGAACAGGAAAGGCCTTTTTTTTTTTAGCTTGATAGAAAATCCAGTAACCATAAATGCAAAGACTCCTCCCCGAATTTAAACAAAATCTATAGCATAGAAACAAAAACAAAAAACAACATAAAGATAATCAAATGACAAACTGGAAAAATATTATTTGCCACATATGCTACAGGTAACAGGTTAATAGGGCTTCCCTGGTAGCTCAGCTGGTAAAGAATCCGCCAGCAATGAAGGAGACCCCAGTTCGATTCCTGGGTTGTCAGGAAGATGCCCTGGAGAAGGGACATGCTTCCCACTCCAGTATTCTTGGGCTTTCCTGGTGCGTCACACAGAAAAGAATCCACCTGCAATGCAGGAGACCTGGGTTCGATCCCTGGGTGGGGAAGACCCCCTGGAGGAGGGCGTGGTAACCCACGCCGGTATTCTTGCCCGGAGAGTCCCCACGGACAGCGGAGCCTGGCGGGCTACAGTCCACCAGGTCGCAGAGTTGGACACGACTGAGTGACCACGCACAGCACAACAGGTTAATATTCACAACATTCAAGCTTCTATTAAGCAATAAGACAAATTGCTCAATACAAAAATTGGGCAAATACCACAAATTTATTAAAAAACAGGATTTCACTCATCATTAATGAAATTGAAATCAAGACACTGTAATACAATTTTCATTTCAACTATCAGACTACCACAAATTAAAAGGTGCCCAGGGCTAGGGAGAATACTGGGAAACAGGGTGTCTCACACAAAATTAGAGAGACTCTAAACTGGTTCATTGCTTGGAGCGGGGTGGGAATCTTTAATACCTGATCCATAGGTCCAAATCCATATGACGTGTCTCTCAACTTCCTCAAGTTAAAATGACCAAAAGTGGACTCATCATATTCCTATTTCCTTCCCCAAGGTGGAGGCGACCCACCATTCTGCCCTTTTCCATGGTACATTCTATCCATTTAGTTATCGATACCACCATGAGTAACTGAGGGAATCAACCCTGATACCCCTCTGTCTCTCACCTCTAGTCAAGGACCCACATCTGTCAGCTGTCTCCAAAGAATAAATCAAATTCATTTCCTTCTTCCCTAAATGCTACTTCCCTGGTGTCAAAAGTGTCTTAGTTTTCAGCTTTCTGACTGGAATCTTACAGAAACAAACATGCCTAGTTCAGTAGAAAATTATCCAACAACCTAACACAGTATTCAGGAAAACCTATGTGCTTAAGTAACATTCACTAATTCAAATATAAAAAATTCCCTTATATATGAAAACACTAAGGAAAATCTTCACAGTACCTAATGCTGTTAGTTGCTCTCCCACCTTATTTACTCTCTATTAAGTTAGGACTGCTCTTTATTTCCATGTTGTCTATAAAGCATCTAGTTGGGCTTTAAAACTAGATTTAAAACCTAACAAGTGATGTTGTTTAATGTAAGTCCAACCTTTAGATATAAAAGAGTAACTCCGAGATTTTTTTCACAGATCAAGAAAAGTGATGATAAAGTCTACCATAAAATATGGACATCACTTCATTTTAGCAACACTGAAGTAGGAAGGAGATAATTTCAGAACAAAGGAGCATTCCTTCCAAGAATGGAGAGATGGCAACTTAATACCAACATGCTCATTGCTCCTACCCTCCCAGAGCACTGTCCTTATTTTCCTTATGCCAGTTAAAACTAGTTACATTCTGGCACTGAGTTAATAGACCATAGTTGGAAATCTGCTAGAGCAGACTGAAAATTAAAATTCACATTCCTAATTCTTCAACCTAGAGACAATTTTTTCACTTGAACTCAGCACAGACATCAAGGGAGATACATAGTTGGTTATGTACAAAATCTGATGCTGGATGATGTTTCACCAATGGAGTACCTGTGAATACCAGCTTGATATAAATTTAGAGCACTAAACCAGAAAATCAGACCATCTGCTAGGTCATTAATCAGCTAAGTAATCCAAGGAAAATCTTTTGGTCTCTCTAGAACTGATAATAAGATCATAAAAAAGGAAGCCAAATGAGCTCATTTTATAGAAAACACTTTGTAAGGGGGAAAAAAAACACAAAAAAACCCGTTTTTAATATTTACAAATGAAACCCATAGATGACCTCCCTTCTCCATTTTAACATTAGCCAAGTCCATCTGAAGTGAGAGTGGTTCTGCTCTGAGAAGCGTCTTACCTCTGGTGTCATTTTCTATTTCTGTCCTCCAGCGATGTAAACAGCTTTCGAGCACAGAGAGTTCTTCCTCTGTTATGTGCCTTGGTGCCGGATGCATGGGCAAGTCTGGAGGTATCCGAGACTGTGTGAACGGTTTGTGTATTACTGATCTTGATGAGATGGCAGCTATTGACGCGGGTGACGTGCTTGGCAGTTCTGAAGAAGGAGCTCCCTGTTGGTCTGTTGTGCTGTATTTTTAAAGCATAAAATATTCACTATTAAACTTTCCAAACTGAAGCTCTGGACAAAGACTATGTGCTAAATAAACAATATTAAGTTGGCTTATAGTTACAAAAGAAGAGTTTCCTTAAAAAAAGAAGTATGTGGACTAATGTAATATCCAAACGAGATTCCTACTACATGGAACTACATTATTATAAGGCTAAAACTGGGGCTTTATATTATAAATGGCTCAATAGTATTTATTTATACAAATCACACATATACCAGATTTATAAACTTTCCCTTGCTGATACTTACCAGCTCACACTACAGAAAAAAATTCTCATTTAATAGTAGTATTCTCACAGATGAAAGAAAGGCTGATACATATACCACAACAGCCTAAAGTATAATTCTGAATGGAAAAAAATATGAATATTTTAATCCGCAGCCATAAAAAATCCATTGAAACAATGAAATAAGAAAGCCCCTAGAAGACCTACACAATCCTCTAAGTTCACTAAAATAAATCACAACATGTATTTTATAAAAACCTTCTCTAAAGGTATCAATTACAATATTACATAATACAGGAACACAGCTGTCTCTTCTATCAAGAAAACTTTTTACCTTGGTAATGTCTGTGATGGTACAGAACCACTAGATGGGGAACTAGCATCAATATCATCAACAGGAGAAGTGCAAACAGGTTTACTTGAGGCAAATTCCAGGGCATACTGCAGAACATCCACCAAGGGGAAGCGTTTGGGACCCGAGCCGTAACTTAAATATCTGTCAACCATAAAACGCATGAATGCTCCCATTTGTGTAAAAAGCATTTATTTCAATAATTGTTCTAAAACAATTTCTAAAAACACTTTAATATTCCTCAACAGTGAAATTAATTTTGCTTTCAAATGATGGTAAAACTACATATACATCCAAGAAATAAGTTAAATGTTCTCTAGAGGAACAAAACCAAAGCTGAGAAGACTGAATGTGTATATACACTGTTATAAATTTCAAATGCTTCTAATCCAACAGTAAAATGAAAAGTGACATTTTCATCTCCTCAGGCTTTTAATTTTTAGATCTGTCATCTGTCTTAAGATGATGACTAATATTATCCCCCTCCTTTTACTTCTGATTATATTCCAATATGATTATTGATACCTTTTAAGAATTAAAACTATTGAAAAATAAGATATTTTATATTAAAAGCTTTAGATTACTCATTTTCAAGTGAACAGTAAAACAAGGGGGTGCAGATTAGATCAGAGGGGATTGCACACGGGGATCTTTCAGACCACATTTTAGCCTGTAGACTTCTGTCTGAACTACAGACTACTTGACAGTCTAAATTCTGGCTTCTTTTGGAAACAATCTAAAGCTCTAGACAACAGGGAGTTGATATTCACGCATGGCACTGCCTAGTATAGACGGCAGGCACCATCTCTCCACAGGGATGTGCTCTCTGACTCCCCCTGCTCAGTTGACTTGCTTCCCTTCTATAATGATTCCATTCTTCTTTATAAAGCTCATAGGCATCTGTGCGTGTATCTTCAGTGTTAAGCAGAAAAACTCAGTTACCATTCATTAATGGGAATCTCAAAAGTAGTATTTAACCTCACACAAGCAGAAACCTCAATCATAAATTAGTTTAACTTTGTATTATCAGCACCATGAGTATTACCTCTTGACAGTGGGAATATTTAATTTTAGGTAATAACTTTTAATGCCAATTATGAATTATTTTAGTCTCTAACACAACTCAAGCCTAAACTATTCAAGCAAAATATCTATCCAGAATGATTCTCTATATGTAGGACCACAAGTCATTCAAAGCAAATTTTATTAAAATTCTAAGTAGTCATTAAGAATATAAGTTCCTATAGTTAGTTCATAATTTCATAAAGTTTCAATACCTTTCAAGTCTTTGTTGTAATACTGTGAGGTAATCTTTTAGTCTCTTGATCTCTTCCCTCTTAATTCTTGTTATTTCTCTGTTTCTATGCATGTATCTATCAGGAAAAAGAAATACAGCAATTATCAGTATTTCCAAGCAAGAAACAGATACAATATTAAGTCTAGCCACCACCACAGAAGATTAACTCATCTAAAATTTTATAATAAAACATTAGAGAATACAAATTATAACATTATTGTGACATTATTCCCAGTAACTACCCTTTTCTAAATAAAAAGAGAACTCCATTTTCCTTGACAAATGGTATTATAAACATTATGCAAAAAGTAAAACTTTTTAAGGAAATTAAACAAAAATTTCTCTAAGAACAATAACTCTTTACTTGGATACTAAATTGTTTCAAAACTAAGTCATGCTGTATACCAAGCCATACCTGTCCAGATATAAAACTTGAGGAAATTCTAATTTATTGTGAATTTTTTCTGGTCTTCCCAGTGCCTGATTAAATTCAAATCTTGACAATTCAAAGGTTAATACAGGCGGTAGTTCGGTAAACCAATGCTGAAAGAAAACAAGAAAAAACCTTAATGCGACCTTTTTATTTCCTCCACTACAATTTAAGGCACAGAATATTTGTTAGCAGTGGCATTTTTACATGCATCATCACAATGCTAACATCACAAATAACTGATTGGGTATGCAATTTAGTCAAAACTCAACTTCTTCCTAAAAGTTTTTCACACCTTTTGAAAATTTCAATAGTATAACACATAGGAAAGAGAAAAATCTTCTAATGACTCTTCTTCATTGGTAATTCTTTACATTAGAATTTCTAACCCAAAGTGAAAAACATTGAATGAAAGTATGGCTTAGTATCTCAATTTTTGCGGCTTCTTCAATCTTATGTCACAGTTATTACCAGGAAAGACACATTACTTAATATAATCAACTACACCCTCAAAAACCTCTGAGGAGGTTACTTGTAAGATGTTAACATACAAAAGAAAAAAATACTTTACAGCATAAAAGATCACAATTCTCATGATAAAGCTAGAAACTGATACTTCCTTGTTTTAAATGTACTAGTAGAATTTTGGCAAATTTAAGAAAGAGATCTATTACCATCAAATACAGCATTTATATTAATGATAATTACATTTAACATCTTTAAAAATTACTAGTGCTTAAAGATTTGAATGCCTGCTTGCTATGAGGCGGCAGCTCCACACACTTTGGCAACTGTTAAGCATAAAATGCAACAGAACTTCAGAATTATTTTAATAAACAGATTCAAACTTTACATAAGCCATATTTATTTAAAGAGAAAGAAAAATGAAAAAACTTGTGAATCAACAAATACAGAAGTATAAAATAATGTAACAAGTATTTTTCAAATGTTTATTTTAAGCTGTGCAGTGTCCTTCTGTAGAAAGAAATTGCAGCATACTATATTATTTATGGTATTTTCAAGGGCCACAAAATGTTACCACATAAATGTCAATAAGCTGAGTATGCTAATTTAAACATCCAAGAGAGAAACAAAAGGAGGAAAATGCACATTTGGCAAACTGAATATGATCTTATATGTTGCTACTTTTCACTAAACAAAATCAGTTAAAGTAAGTGATTATTCAAAACTATTTCATACTTCCCTGGCAGCCCAGTGGTTAAGACTCACGGGTCTAGGGTTCAATTCCTAGTCAGAAATCTAAGATTCCACATGCCACACAGCTTGGCTACAAAAAGAAATGCTAATGATTACTTGAATTGAGATTTCCTGAGTTGGAGTTGGTTGATCTTTTACCAAAAGCTGAAGTTAAAGGAATTTGTTTTACATGGATATTATCTGAAATTGACAAGAGAAGGTTATGAAAAGTCTATTAGAAATATCCCTTAAATTTTAAAATTTCTTGAGCAAAGTTTGCCTATTTGCTTTGGCGAGGCGTTTTTTTGTTTGTTTTTGTTTTTTTTCAGTTAGTTTTAATCCACACCTAAAGTTACTATTAAGAATTAAAATATACTCTACACATATCACAAGGGAAACTTTTGATGTCTTAGGATGATACTCTTTATTCAACGTCATAATACTTGAAAAGTACTATTACCTTCATCTTTTCTTGCAGTGGTTTATATGATACTATTTAAAATTAAATATAACTATTAAGGTATCTTACTGTTCAGCTTTAAATAACAAACATACTTTAATCCATGGAAACCTGCAATGGCCAACAGAAATGAAATGACCCAGTTTGGTGGCATGCTTTTCTGTAAACCATAAACAGTCCAGGAAACAGGTTCCATATCTTATGAAAGAATGTTCATAATATGTATGTCTCTGTGTGGATTTGTTTAATCTAACAGCAATGACAGATTTTTCCTACTACAGGAGTGCAAGGGATTTCACTTTTTCATTTAATGCTACTCAGGACAAGAAGGGATAGCCAGACATTCCCTAAATTATTTTTAAAAAATATTATGGGTGTGTTGAGCTCTGTGATTTTTAAGTACAGCAGTATATACAAGAGAATTTTAAATAATATAAAACAACAATACATTTTTTTCCTTTCAAGATATTTTCCCATTTAGTAACAACCTATACTTAATTCTCTGATGAGCCATGAATTTTGTGAAACACAGGTCACTAAAGGTAAAAATGATGCTTATATTCTTGATATCTCAAAACACATAGCATCATTATTACTATTCTTATTACTACATTATATAACAAACAGACAGGGGTAATAGATTTTTGCAGTTAGTAAAAAGGAACAGTATTGGCAACAAAAGTACTCCTGAATTTCCTCTAAATATAAATCTGAGCTGTTAAAATAGTTTCTAGAGAGAATGTAGTCATTTCTAAGAGTTAATAGCAGATTCTTCTATTAAGATGATTTAAATATCTTGCTTTTGTGAGCTTACATGTATATGGGGTGGGGGGAGAAAAAACAGACTTATTACTGCAAATTCCCCACAGAACATCAAATAAAGCTAGGATGTAACTAAGCCTTAGAGGAGAAAACTTCCAATTCCAATTCAAAACTCAATTTCAGTCATTTGATTGTCTTCACTCCTTTGCCCTATTTATCTCCTATATAATGTCTACATATATCTAATATGGCACATGTAGGTATTATTTCTGTAATGTAGTTTTTAGCTAAAGCTCTGTAAAATTTCTCTCAGCACTTTGATTATAACTTGTACAACCCTGAAGGGAAATTTGGCAGCACTTACATTTCTAAACGAGTATGCCCTGTGACCTAAAGATTCCATTTCTAACTATCCTTCATTCCAAAGCGCACAAGGTTATTTATAGAAAGACATTTTTTGAAATAATTCTTTATCCAAAAGTTTCACAGAAGAATTACATCAATTTAATTTTATAAATACTAGCTATGGTGATACTATGCAGGTTCTAAAAAGAATGATGTAAAGCTATATATTGACATGGAAGGATGTTCACAATATACTGGTAAGTAAAAAACAATGCAAGTCTCAAAATAGTATGAACAAACACAAACATCCATATGTGCACATCTAAAAGGATGTACATCATAGTACTAGCAGTGAATACCTACACCAGAAGTGAGATGTTTACTCTTTGAAATTCTCATCAATAGGCAATGAAAAAATAGTTCCAGGTTTCTTGGAGAGATTAACTCATCTATAAATGGCATAGCATTTAATTAAAAGTTATGATTTAGAAAAAAATTTGGAAGTAATTATTTTACATATGACCATTTTTTATTTATTCAGTTGATTCTTGGTATGTCATTAAAGAAATGTAAATTCTTATAGCCCACTGAATGTTTCACCATAGCAATTCTGTAGACAAGTTCAGTTCAGTTCAATTGCTCAGTCATGTTTGACTCTCTGCGACCCCATGAATCGTAGCATGCGAGGCCTCCCTGTCCATCACCAACTCCCGGAGTTTACTCAAACTCATGTCCACTGAGTCGGTGATGCCATCCAACCATCTCATCCTCTGTCGTCCCCTTCTCCTCCTGCCACCAATCCCTCCCAGCATCAGGGTCTTTTCATATGAGTCAGCCCTTCGCATCAGGTGGCTCAAGTATTGGAGTTTCAGCTTCAGCATCAGTCCTTCCAATGAACACCCAGGACTCATCTCCTTTAGGATGGACTGGTTGGATCTCCTTGCAGTCCAAGGGACTCTCAAGAGTCTTCTCCAACACCACAGTTCAAAAGCATCAATTCTTCGGCAATCAGGTTTCTTTATAGTCCAACTCCCACATCCATACATGACTACTGGAAAAACCATAGCCTTGACTAGACGGACCTTTGTTGACAAAGTAATGTCTCTGCTTTTTAATATGCTGTCTAGGTTGGTCATAACTTTCCTTCCAAGGAGTGTCTTTTAATTTGATGGCTACAATCACCATCTGCAGTGATTTTGGAGCCCAGAAAAATAAAATCAGCCACTGTTTCCCCATCTATTTGCCATGAAGTGATGGGACCAGATGCCATGATCTTAGTTTTCTGAATGTTGAGCTTTAAGCCAACTTTTTCACTCTCCTCTTTCACTTTCAGCAAGAGGCTCTTTAGTTCTTCACTTTCTGCCATAAGGGTGGTGTCATCTGCATATCTGAGGTTACTGATATGTCTCCCGGCAATCTTGATTCCAGCTTGTGCTTCCTCCAGCCCAACGTTTCTCATATGTACTCTGCATATAAGTTAAATAAGCAGGGTAACAATATACAGCCTTGACATACTCCTTTTCCTATTTGGAACCAGTCTGTTGTTCCATGTCCAGTTCTAACTGTTGCTTCCTGACCTGCATATAGGTTTCTCAAGAGGCAGGTCAGGTGGTCTGGTATTCCCATCTCTTTCAGAATTTTCAACAGTTTATTGTGATCCACACAGTCAAAGGCTTTGGTGTAGTCAATAGAGCAGAAATAGATGTTTTTCTGGAACTCTCTTGCTTTCTCGACGATTCACGGATGTTGGCAATTTGATCTCTGGTTCTTCTGCCTTTTCTGAAACCAGCTTGAACATCTGGAAGTTCATGGTTCATGTATTACTGAAGCCTGACTTGGAGAATTTTAAGCATCACTTTACTAGTGTGTGAGATGAGTGCAATTGTGTGGTAGTTTGAGCATACTTTGGTATTGCCTTTCTTTGGGACTGGAATGAAAACTGACCTTTTCCTTCCTACATTAGTTGGCCACAGCTGTCTTGCAGAAACATTTTTTAAAAAATGTTTGCTGCATCAAAGTAAAATCAACAATTTTTATTAAATAATAGCATAAGAGATAAAAGGTATTAACATCAGGGGTTATGCCAATTTAGAAACAAGCCTAAAATGCTATTCATTGGTGTTTATAGAGAAATAAAAGTTTTTTTCTGAAGGACACAATGGAATGAAACTATTATTTAAGGGCATTACTAAAAACTTTTAAGATATTCTACTCTGGTCAGTGACAGTCACTTAAACTAGGCTGACTTATTGAAACTACGATGTCCAGCAAATCTAGGCAACTGAACTAGTAATCACAGGTAATCATATTAGCCATTATTGAGGAACTAGCTATTATTCAGTTCCTATTATCTTAGGAACTGAATTTAAATACTAGAGAAGATGACAAGCCACTTGTATACCTTAGGCTAGGTGGGAAAATCTAGGCAGAAAACATATATTGCAGTATAGGGCAGTCAGAGTATGAAGCCAAAGACAGAAAACAAACTAAATCTTCTAAAAAATAAATGATGACATTCAGAGTCAATGTAAGAAAGATATTTTCAAAAGCTAGGAATATGTGAGAAATATTATTTACCTATTATTACATTTACCAATAAATCATAATATGTTTCATTTACAAGTTACTTAACATTGTAAGGAAAAGGCCATTCCTTCTCTCCCTGCAGAAATCCACTATTCTTCTATTTAATAGCAAACAGACTGCACTTTATAAAGCTCTGTTTTCCTGTTCCATCTTGGCATCCTTGGAAAGTTCTAATGTTTAAAGATCTGTTTCCCAATCAGTAAGATAAATAAGCTTAATTTAAGTATTCTTAATTAAAGGTCTATTATCAGAGTCACCTGTGGAGCTCTGGTGCTCATGTACCATACCCCTTCCCTAGATTCTGATTTGGTAGCTTTGAGGTGGAATCTAGGCATCTGCTGAGAATCACTGAAGTAGATGATCTATATGGTAGACACATAACGTAGGCACAAGCTACCATTGGCTCAGTTGGTAAAGAACTTGCCTGCAATGTAGGAGACCTGGGTTCAATCCCTAGGTTGGGAAGATCCCCTGGAGGAGGGCATGGCAACCCACTCCAGTATTCTTGCCTGGGAAATCCCACGGACAGAGCCGGTGGGCTACAGTCCATGGGGTTGCAAGAGTGGGCCATGACTTAGCAACTAAACCACATGTAGAAAGAAAAACTATTTCAAATATTTTCTCTCTCTCTCAAAAAAAGGCAAAAAATAATAATTATTTCCTTTTTGTTTGAATGTGTGAGGGAACACAAGGAGATGAGGATGGCATTAGAAGTTACATCTTTTTAAAAAGCACATAATTCAAATAAAAACAATTGATTCTCAAAGATATAAGAAACTAGTCCCTCTTCAGATAAACAGAGATGCAATCACTTAATAACTATTAAGTGCCTATTCAAAGATAAGAACCTTGGAAACTTTTTTTTTTTTTAATTTATTTATTTATTTATTTTTTATCACAACCATAGTGTATCTTTTTTTTTTTTTTTTTACATGTATTCCCCATCCCGGTCCCCCCTCCCACCTCCCTCTCCACCCAATCCCTCTGGGTGTTCCCAGTGCACCAGGCCCGAGCACTTGTCTCACGCACCCAACCTGGGCTGGTGAACTGTTTCACCCTAGATAATATACGTGTTTCAATGCTGTTCTCTTGAAACATCCCACCCTCGCCTATGACCCAGCAATCCCACTTCTGGGCATACACACTGAGGAAACCAGATCTGAAAGAGACACGTGCACCCCAATGTTCATCGCAGCACTGTTTATAATAGCCAGGACATGGAAGCAACCTAGATGCCCATCAGCAGATGAATGGATGAGGAAGCTGTGGTACATATACACCATGGAATATTACTCAGCCATTAAAAAGAATTCATTTGAATCAGTTCTAATGAGAACCTTGGAAACTTTTTTAATGTTACTGAGACGTTTCACTCAGTCAACACACATCACGCACTTCTGTCTGCTGGTAACAGGGTTATAAGACAGAGACCATACTGTCCAAGGCACAGATGAAGACCCCAACAGAGCTGACACACAGACAGCTAGCCGCAACTGCTTAACGATGACTGATTTTAGAGCACATCATCTGTCCTTTCCTTTCTAATATTCTGGATGAATATATGGATAGAAGGATATACAAACTGAGCTAGACAGATGAACTGAGAGATGAACATAGGTTACAAGACAGAGGCCAGTGGAGACAGATAAATAGGTTTGTAATATCTATTTTAATTCTCTTGAGAAAGCAAGTTCTTCCATCTGCCCTTCAGGCAATTATACAGTAATTTTGCAAGAAAAGAAGTGTAGTGTTGCCTCCTTGGGCCTGACACATTCCAACATGTTTGATATAAGTAACATACGTCTATGCAGAATTCCACTCTAACATCAGTGCTTTTCTTCCTTCCAGCACTAGCATGCTGTAATGGCTGGTACCTTGACTGAAAAGTCTTAAAAGACTGAACAATGTCCTAAATGAGGATTTTAACATAAAATTTTGAGAAAACACTTTAAATGAAAAGTTAACGTAGATTATAGACTGTACTGACTCTGCAGTTTTCCCCCAAATGTCTAAATTACCATAATTATATTCAAAAACATTTTCTGATTATTCTCTCAATTATTAGGTAGCTATACAGTTAGAGCCTTACTTCACAACACTGTAGAAGAGACCTATGGGAAAGGGGAATGAAGATGCTAAACTCACCTCTTGACCGGATTTTCCTGAATTTTCTGAATGTAAAGACTCAATTTCTCCTTCAATCATAGCAGCTTCTAGGCATTCATGCAGATCTTTGAATCCATTGACCTGAAGTGGGTACTGACCAAACATTTCAGTATTTTCAAATTTTTTACCTATAAGAGAGGAGAAATTCATATTCCTCAATATGGCCTTTTAGCTTCTAAAAAGTAAATAAATGTATACATTAATCATCTCCTCAACCTAAAAACTATACCTGTTTATGTTTCAGACAAATAGATGGGGAAACAGATGTTTACGTTTCAGGCATATAGATGGGGAAACAATGGAAACAGTGACAGACTTTATTTTCCTGGGCTCCAAAATCTCTCTAGATGGTGACTGCAGCCATGAAATTAAAAAAGACACTTGTTCCTTGGAAGAAAAGCAATGGCAAACCTAGACAGCATATTAAAAAGCAGAGACATTACTTTGCCTACAAAGGTCTGTATAGTTAAAGCTATGGTTTTTCCAGTAGTCATGTACGGATGGGATGTGAGAGTTGGACCATAAAGAATGATGAGAACCAAAGAATTAATGCCTTCAAACTGTGGTGCTGGAAGAGTCTCCTGAGAGTCCCTCGGACTGCAAGGATATCAAACTAGTCAACCCTAAGGGAAATCAACCTTGAATATCCATTGGAAGGACTGATGCTGAAGCTGAAGCTCCAGTATTTTGGCCACTTGATGTGAAGAGCTGACTCACTGGAAAAGACCCTGATGCTGGAAAAGCCTGAAGGCAGGAGAAGAAGGGGACAATAGAGGATGAGATGGTTGGATGGCAAAACCGACTCAATGGACATGAGTTTGAGCAAACTCTGGGAGATGGTGAAAGGAAAGCCTGGCATGCTGTAGTCCATGGGCTGCAAAAAGTTGGACACGACTGAGCAACTGAACATTTCAGACAGTTGTAGTTACTATTGTTTTCCTACTGGCTTTTACATGCATGTAAGTGTGTTCACATACAGCTATGCTATAGATATTAATTACACACTCATATCTGTATATGTAATTATATTTGTGTGTGTGTATATATACATTTATTCTTTAAAAAAGTACCTTTTAAGGGCAAGATACTGTACTAACATTGAGAATACACATAACAGCATACAAAAGTTATAGGGTCTCTGAGCTGAGGAAACTTTCAGCCTCTTGGAAAAATGCAATATGCACATTAATTGCACATACAGCTATGAATAAATATTATTACAGATGTCAGAAAAGGTGTGGTGAGATAGAGTGCTGTAAGAAGATATGGAAGGGGAGCAAATCTAGTCTTCAGGGTTGGAGGGTAAAGCAGGGAAGACTTCCACAGGAAAATGACATTTATGCTGAGACTGCAAAGGTGAATAGGAGGTGGCCAGGCCAGAATTGGAGAGCCAGAGTATTCCTGGCCAAGAACAGCACAGGCAGAAACTTTCAGGTTGCAGAGAACTTGGCACGTTTAAAGAATTAAGGGAAAGGAAGTATAGCTTAGGGGAGCAACATGGACATGACAATGAAAAGTTAGGTGGAAGAATCAAAACAAAATTCTTAACCAAGTCTAGTAGCCCTTGTTAAGAATTTTTTTCCCAGTGTATTCTGAATATAATGGAAAATCGCTGAATAATTTAAGTATAGGAATAAGAGGCTCAGATTTACATCTCTGAAAAATCCTTATGGTTTCTGTTAAGTGATAAGGATGGTATGTGACTATATACAATCCATCTATAAATAAAAGTAGAATGGAATCAGGAGTTAATAATAAAAGTGTATAAAAACATGAAGTAACACACATTTATAAATATATACAAAAGGAAGCACCAATAGGACTTGACTGACTGGTTCATAGGCAGGATGGGGAACAGAAAAGAAAGGAAGGTTTCAAGAATGATATTCAGATTTTGAGCATGAACAACTGAATTGATTTTTATGTACTGAAAAGGGCACCAGTAAAGGAAGAGTAGAGGATTTTTTTTTTTTTTTTTACTTTTGTGTTAAGGCAGCAGGGAAAATCACTGGTTTAGAATGGCCCATGATATTTTATGTTGAGAAGAGCTAGACATAAATAAGTCAGTAACTAAGACTGAGGTGAAGCTATAAACTGAATAAGTAGTAGCTTATTCATAGCAGGAAATCAAGGGAGTACATGAGATTGCCCAGGGAACTAGCAAACAAGAGGAAGAGGATCAAAGGTGGGTCCCAAGGCTCTCTTATATTTAGATATAGAAAGAAACTACAAACATAATTCCTAAAAAGTAACAACAGAGGCATGAGAAAGCCAAGATAATATGGTGCACTAGAAGTCAGAGAAGTATTTTCAACAAAAAAGCAGGTAAAAGGAAGAGGAAGAGGAGGAGGATTGGAGTCAACAGCATTAATAGTTGATAAGAATTCAATGAGAATTGAGAGGAATCCAATGGACTATCCAATGGACTAACACATTTAGGAAATTAATAACCTTCAAAAGCCCCCTTTTAGAAGAGGTCTGGAGCCAGAAATAAAAATGGGATAGGTCAAATAAATGGAGAGACAGCAGAGAAAAACAAGATCCTATGTTTAAATAAAGGAGATTATTTCTGAATAAGATTAACTGAGAAAGAACATGTGAAGGGATTTTATTTTTTTAATTTTATAGATATGAAATACCAGATCATGTCTAAATATTGATGAGAATGACACAGTGAAATGAAGAAGCTAAAGATACAGAAATAAAAGCAAGATAAAGGACAGAAAAAGACCTGAGAGAAAGCATGAAAAGATGAGATTCTTAGCACACACAGCCACTGATATTAGACAAAATAAATCCTTTAGTACCTGGAGTGACAAAGAAAAGAATATGGTGGAGGTAGGAATGGATCCAGGTTGGGAAGCTTAAAGCTCATAAATCTGAGGAAGTCACTTTTAAGAACTATGATAAAAAAAAATTTTAAGCACAAAATTAGATCCATGGCCTTAGCCAGGATCCATGGTTAGGTTTCATAAGTTTCAACGTCAATCTATGAAATCCGAGGTAAGGACTTTTTCAGAAAATGAAGAGAAAATGAAATTATATTAAACATAGAAAAACTGGAAATTGCTACTGCAGAAAATGGGAAAGAAGACAGTGATGAAGACAGACAAAGATGGGTGCCAGGGAGGGTTAACGGGCTGGGACTAGTGAAGCTCAGGGTCACTGCAGCTTCATGACCCACTATCATTAGCCCATGTGAGTGACTTCCTCCTAACAACACTCAGGTTCTCAGTACATGCAGAGAGAAGAAAATAATTCCATGAGGGCCAGAGACTAGCCAGAGAGGGGGTGCCAGAAGGGGAAGGGGGAAAGGAGCTTTGGCAAAGTATAAGGAGGGTCATATGGACAAGGAAGGAAAGGAAAAGGCTGAGAACAGAATGGAGGGATCACGGCCTCGGAGTCTGGTAGAGCTGCCTGAACTTACGCAACAGAGGACTTTAGTAAACAAACAGAACTACCCTACCTCAGAGTCACCAGTCTAAAAACATGCATTAGGAAGATACATGTAAAAATGAGGAGAAAGTGCTCCAAAATATACTGCTAACAAAGCAAATACACAGTTCACCTGGAAATGTACTGCAATCACATTTATATAGCACAGCAACACTGAAACAACATACCAAAACCAAGTACAAAGACTTCAACACTGATGGAGAAGTTTTAATCATCCCTTCTAAGAATCCAGGAAATAAAGGTAGAAGTGCTCATGACGAGTGTAATATTATCAACAGTGCACAGTCACAACCTGATTAGAGCTCCTCAACTTCTACAGACAGTGTTCTACTTCAAATAAAAACAAGGATGACAGTATGGGCATCCTAAATAGGAATACAATTCACTATATAAAATACCCCACTATTTATATAATGAATATTTAGCATTTGAGGCAAACAAAATGTATTGACAGCCCAGTACAACATTTAGCACATCTAAATCCCACGTTAGTCTCTGCCTATTTCCAAATCTCAAACTATAAAACCATATTCAAACAAAACTTCATGGCAATCCATCACTTAAGATCTTTAAGAAAAATCAAATCCCCAAATTTTATACTTTGGGTAATTTGGGTGAACTTTCAAAACTTGATCCATAGGACCATTTGGGAAAAATAGTTTTTCAAAAATGTATGCTTTGAAACTTAAGTGATTTTATTACCTGACGTATATTTTATGAATCAGTTTCCTGCCCTTGTTAAGAAAACCAGAGAGTAACTCTTTAGGCCTGGATTTTGACTAATAGGAATACTATCATTTTTAACTGATTTTTTTAAAGGTAAGAGTAAAACTCTTTCTTGAAAACTATAGTCTAAAGAATTTTATAATCACCCCATAAATGGGAACCCTGCAAAACCCTGACTATGCTAAATTGCTAAGTATAGCTTTTAACTTGCATAGACATGAAACCCTCAAAAGCAGTGACCATCATACCAAGCCCCAGTATTAAACTCTAATATTATTTTTTAGAGGCACCAACTGCCACCTTAACAATTCACTGTATCACAGAAACTTTCCCAAGGAAAGAACATCAGATCAACATTAACTGAGTATCAATTCGCATGTGATAATATACTCTGTACTTTCCTTTATATGCATTCAATTCTTCGCTTTCTTTTTTCTTTTTTTGCTTTCTATATAAATGATTAGCATTAGCAATGTTAACAGAAACTACTAGACAAAGGATGTCAAATCAAAAACCATTCCACAAATACCGTCACTATTGTGACAAAGGACCTAACAATTAATAATATGTCAGTTGTAATAAGGAAGCAAATATGCAACTATACCTTCAAGCACTCCCACAGCTAGGAATCTTCCATAGAACAACTCTACCATGGGGTTCTTTGGCTTGTCTTCATCCCTAAAAATCACATTAAAATTATAAATGTGACTACAACTTTCAATTTTTAAAACTGTAATAGAGAAAAGATTAAAAGAACAATAATAGATGCCAAGATAGTAACGTTTATGCAGTTCTTATGTATTTGGCTCTGCTACTTAGTGTTGAGCCAAGATACTTACATTTATTCTGTTTCTTCACGTGTCAACTGAGAATATTAAACCCACAAAGCTGTTGTAAGGGTTAAAAACTGTGTGGGACCTCACTGTAAGGAGATATGAACCCAGTTTGTAGTCACAAAGTGCCTGATCATTCCATTATCATTTAGAGTATGGACTTTTAGTCATACAATACATGCTTATTTGGACTTGCTGGGAAGGAGGAAAAACCACTCTTGCACACTGGCCATTACCAGTGAAATAACAAAATACCAGTTTTGAATCATGTAGCTAAAGAGGTACGCCAATCTTTTGCAAAGTTTCATGTTGCTGGTAAAATTAGTCATCTGTGAATTTTCCAAATTCTTTAACATATAAATTTGTTTTCTTGGGTTTTTTTTTGGCTTGAAGCAAGTAGAAATGGACAATTTTTAACTTTTTCTTTAGTGTTTTATACCCTGTGATCTAAAAATACAAAGTTTATCTTGGCCTTGGTATATAAAACTATGTTTTATCCACAACTGTACAGACATTTTCTTCATAAATTTTGTGTTCAAATTAATAAAACTGATTTACTTTTTAAAATGAGAGAAAGATACTGTTTGTCTCTTGAATTGTTACATGCACCCCCATTTAAACCATAAAACAACTGGAGGGAAATACTTCACTTAAGCCTTGCAACAATTCTGAGGTAGTATGGTGGTCATTAGTGTTGTACAAAAAGATTTCCAGCCCTCTACTTTCAGATACATAGTAAGAAGCACTTTCCCATCTACTTTCTATTTAAATTTGAAAAAAAAAATCTGAATTGTGATAAAATAAACACAATATAAAGTTTACCATCTTAACCATCTGTAAGTGTTCAGTTCTGCAGTGTTAAGTACATTCATAACTGATGTGGAACCAACCTCTAGAACTAATTTCAGCTTGAGAAACCCATTAAGCAACTCCAAGTTCCTCCCTCCCATCAGGTCCTAGTAACCGCCATTCTAACTTTCCGTTTCTCTGTGACAACGCTAAACACATTGTATAAGTGAAATACAGTTGTTGTCTTTTTGTGACTGGTGTATTTCACTCAGCATCATGTTTTCAAGGTTCATCCATGTTGTAGCAGGCGTCAGAGTTTCCTTATTTGGTAAGGATATTCCATTGTATATGTATACCACATCTGTATTTCCATTCATCCATGGATATAATCAGTCACTTCCAACATCTGTCTATTGTGAAGAATGCTGCCATGAACATGAGTGTGCAGCATCTCTTTGAGACCCCGCCATAAATGCTTTTGGATTTAAATTCAGCAGTGGAATTGCTGGATCATCATGTGGTTAATTTTTGCTGTTCCGTCTTTATAAATGCAACTGACAAACAACTATAAGGTATCTGAAGTGTACACCATAATGATTTGATGTATGTATACACTGTGAAAGGATTCCCTCTATCAAATGATAATTCTACCATTAATTTTTTTAAGGAACCACCACAATGTTTTCCACAGCAGTTGTACCATTTTACATTTCCATCAACAGTGCCAAAAAGTTTCAATTTTCACATTTCAATACTTTTTATTTTCTGTGTTTTTTTTTTTTTTTTTTTTTGCTTTGCACAACAAAATGTGAGTGGAGGTAATATGTGTCATTTCTGGGCTGTAACTTTGCGAGTTAATATACTTTTCACTGATGTGGTGATCCCAGAAGGCTGGGATGAGATGAAGCCTCTGTCATCTGATATAGGGGAGAGGAAAAATACAAAGACTGTCTCTCTTGATTTAAAAGTTCATGAATCTTTAGACATGAAGATTAGTACCTCCATTTTCATGCGTCATACTCCTGTGTACTGGGTTGGTCAAAAAGTTCGTTCGGGTTTTTCCTCGACATCTTACAGAACTTTATGGCTAACCCAACAGAAAAACAACATTCCTGGTTTCTCACCTTATTTTCACAGACATACTCCACAGAAAGAGCAACGACATACCAGGTTGATGTCTTTGACAGAAGAAACTGTGTAAGAGAGCTGTACTAACTGAATTCTTTTTCCAAGGATCTTTTCAATTCTTTGTATCTAAATTTTGGTCTTCTCTCCACTGACCTGTGGTATGCACTGACCCTCCCTAAGGAGTCAGGCTGACAAATTACCCAGAAATCCTTTACCCGGTCCTTCTTTGCAACCTCTCAGAGCTCTTACTCGTTACAGTGCATTTAAGCTTTGAATCTCAGGGACCCAGACTGTTGCTATCAACACAAGTTCAAGGAACACAGTAAAGAGCAATTTAAAACACCCGAGATTTCTATAATAGAAAAGATATATCCATTGCTTGCATGAAGAAAAGCTAGACTGACACAAATATCACAGGCCAAAAGAAATCATCAAAGAAAACTTGTATCAGGGACACCTCAGCCTCAGGAATCAGGTTGGTACAGAAAGAGTTCAAAGATTTACAGCAACTGATACAGTACTCAGTGCTTCCCAATCTTTTAAACTTTAAAAAGTTTTAGCTAAAAAAAAAAAAAAAAAAGTTTTAGCTCCATAAACAGTAAAGAAAAAACAAAACTACTGAGAAATGAGAAGTAAATACTTCAAGTAAGGCTTGTGATTTCAGACGAAACAGGAAAGTTCTCATTTAAAACAGTTTTAGAAAAAGGAGAGAGAAAACTTGTTAGTTCAGTTCAGTCGCTCAGTTGTGTCTGACTCTTTGCAACCCCAGGGACTGCAGAATGCCAGGCCTCCCTGACCATCACCAACTCCCAGAGTTTCTCAAACTCATGCCCATTGAGTCGGTGATGTCATCTAACCATCTCATCCTCTGATGTCCCCTTCTCCTCCTGCCCTCAATCTTTCCCAGCATCAGGGTCTTTTCAAATGAGTCAGCTCTTCACATCAGGTGGCCAAAGGATTGGAGTTTCAGCTTCACCATCAGTCCTTCCAATGAACATTCAGGACTGATTTCTTGTAGGATGGACTGGTTGGATCTCCTTGCAGTCCAAGGGACTCTCAAGAGTCTTCTCCAACATCTCAGTTCAAAACCATCAATTCTACGGTGCTCAGCTTTCTTTAGAGTCCAACTCTCACATCCCTACATGACTACTGGAAAAACCATAGCCTTGACTAGATGGACCTTTGTTGGCAAAGTAATGCCTCTGCTTTTTAATATGCTATCTAGGTTGGTCATAACTTTCCTTCCAAGAAGTGTCTTTTTATTTCATGGCTGTAGTCACCACCTGCAGTGATTTTGGAGCCCCCCAAAATAAAGTCAGCCACTGTTTCTCCATCTGTTTGCCATGAAGTGATGGGACCAGATGTCATGATCTTAAGTTTTCTGAATGTTGAGCTTTAAGCCAACTTTTTCACTCTCTTCTTTCACTTTCATCAAGAGGCTCTACTTCTTCTTCACTTTCTGCCATAAGGGTGGTGTCATCTGCATATCTGAGGTTATTGATATTTCTCCCAGCAATCTTGATTCCAGCTTGGGCTTAATCCAGCCCAGCGTTTCTCATGATGTACTCTGCATATAAGTTAAATAAGCATGTTGACAACATATAGCCTTGACATACTCCTTTCCCAATTTGGAACCAGTCTGTTGTTCTATGTCCAGTTCTAACTGTTACTTCCTGACCTGCATACAGATTTCTGAGGAGGCAGGTCAGGTGGTGTGGTAGTCCCATCTCCTTCAAAATTTTCCACAGTTTACTGTGATCCACACAGTCAAAGGCTTTGGCATAGTCAATAAAGCAGAAATAGATGTTTTTCTGAGACTCTCTTGCTTTGTGAATGATCCAGCAGATGTTGGCAATTTGATCTCTGGTAACTCCTTAGTTACTAGATCAGAAAAGTTGACACTCGAACCCAAAAGAATTTTTTAGAAGTAAAATGAGTAAAATAAGGAAAGATCTCCAAAACCAGAAAAGAATGATCCTTTCAGAAATAACCAGGATTCAGGCAACAGCCAAGTGGCAGTCTAGAGAGAGACAGCAATCAGGGAGCTGTCTTGAACACAGGCTACTACATGAGGTGATTACAGGAAGTCTGGACAGATTTCAGAGGAGAACTGGGGACTTCAGGGTAAAGTACTCAAAGAATTACTGAGAGAACTCCAAACAGACTCAGCTTCCATAGACCGGGATACAGATAGCATTCACACTCTGGGGAAACATGCTCAATAAATTTTGGGGGTTGGAACTCTAAGGAAAAGTACAAGGAACATGAATTTTACTAAAGAGGAGCCAGGGTGGACAATTGTAGATCAAGTTCACACACAGGCTGTTTGTTGGTCTGACAGGACAGAACTCTGGTAGAATTCTGCAACACAAAAGAGATGAAGATGGGCAATGCCCGTGTGAATATTAAACTGCTTGGGCATACTCCTAACTCATATTTCACTCACTCTCACTATGACAGACCTATTAAGATAGCATAGAGGGATAGGGCTGAAAACAAAGTCAAGCAACAAGAAAAAGAAGACATTTGGCCATCAAACAGAACTGGTCCCGTACAGGGTAGGGGTTCAGAGGCAGGTTAAGCTACTAAGAATTCAGTCAAGACCTCCTTAAAAAGAATTGGGGGAAAAATGTAACTGCACCTTAAAGAACTAGCCCATCCAGGGGGGTAAAAAAAAAAGGAGCAGAAAGAAACATACTAAAGGCCTAGAACATTGAGAAGCTGAGAAAACACCTTATCATAGAGATGATGATCTTTACTGGAGCTGGAACTCAGGTTTCAGAAAGCATCAGCGGCCGATTCAGTTCAGCATCGGGATGGGGAGATTTACCAAATGAAACTAACATAAACAAAGAAACTACCTAGAAAGCAGGTTTCACAAATCTAACCAATTTCATACCAAAATGCTATGGTAGCAACCGTTGTGGCGTGAAAATATGTTATTAGAAAGACAGCTTATAGTCAATGCAGCACTGGGGGCCAGCAAAGTGACATTTATAAGAAAACTGCAACTTAAGAATTTTGGTGAACAGAAAAGAAGAGCACCAGACCACAGCTGTTAGCATCATAAACTTCTAAACACTCCCAAAAGGGAGCAGCTTCCAATGAAACATTCTAAGTTTCCCACAACGGAAATTTTCCCTCAGATATTGTAGATTTAGTGCCATAATCTAGAGAGATTTCTTCCAACATTAAGTTTATAAGTAGCTGTCTAATGAAAAAACCAATTGGCCCTTAATGATAGGTATCGTGGCAGAATTAAAACCATGATTTTCTTCATTTATGACATCATCCTCCAAAGTTTCTGCTACAGTCTTTAGCAACAGGAACTTGAGTTTGGATTGAACTATGAGCCAGGAACACTAGAGCTGGACTGAAAGCTAAAGGGTTGAAGCTTCGCTTTTGTTTTAAACCTCAGCATTTGTGGCCACAAATTTCAAAAAGCTTATAAAGAATTCAGATAACATTTGGGTTGCCATACACTTATCTCAGATTCCTATTTCTCTGTTGACACTGAATACATGAGAAGAAAAAAAAAAAAAAAACAGTGTTATTTATCAATCTCCTAAACCCCATAAACTAAACTTCCCAGTAACTTACGTCTCTTCTTCAGCTTTCATTTGGAAGGCATCTTCTAACCAATCTAATAATTTGTGTGTAAACTCACTCACGTCTTGCTGTGGGGGAAAAAAAAAGGGTCTTATTGATACTCGAGCCTACTAATGAAAACAGTGCAACATAAAACTTACAGCTAGTCTTTTCTAATGTATAGTTAACTGACTCCTCACAAAGGTATCATATGAAATGTTTCATATCAAATGCAAGAAATATTTATAACTTAACCAGAGCATAAAATCAGTATTTGAGAAAAACAAGCATCATATTCATAATTATGTGACTGAGTTTCACTTTAGGAGGGAAAAATATATATGTATAAATATTGATATATATAAAAACTCAAACTCATGAATGAGATTTTTAAAAAGAGTTATCACCTCCCCCCAGAGTTCTCTAATGAATCTTTATAAAACAAAGGACCCACATTACCATAGTTCTTCCTTATACAAAGATTTATTACTGGTTTCTCTCTTAGAAGGAATATATGCTTTTAAACAATTCATTTTCTCAATTCAACTGTTACGCACCACTTTTTAAGCCATATCTAATTTTACTAAGATATCTGTTAACTTGGATAGGTTGAATCCAATCAATCACTGACTCCCTGATTACCAAGGTCTACCACCTCTGAAGTTCAAACTGAGTCTCCAATCAGAACCAGCATAATCTTCACCTTCCACAATCCCTTTCTTCAGTTCTAGTTCTCCTGACAAAGATGAACAGGAATAAAGCAGTGGCAGTTGTACTCATCAACTACCATAAACTTCTTTCAACAATCTGACCTGGAGTACAGCAAACATGTTTGTATAGAACCTGCAAGAAGAGCGGGGTCGGGTGGGAGGATAAAGCAATTCTTACTATGACTGCCCACAGACAGATAAGTAAGTGTAAGCAACTTGCTTTCATCAAAATAGCCCTAAGTATAAAACAAACTTACTGTTACACACTTCCACAGCTAGAAGGTTTTTTGAAGAGTATCTAGGACAAGCGATTTACCTTTAAAATGTTGAAACTAAGGTCTAGGAAGCATAAATAAATTGCTCCAAAGCCATATGAAGACAACGAAACCTAACACAAAAAGCAGTTATAAACATCCATACCACCTGTAGTGGGTTAAATGGAGGCCTGTCAGAATATATGTCCACTTGGAACCTCAGAATGTGACTGTATTTGGAATAGGAGTCTTCACAGATGTAACGGAAGTGTGGATCTTAAGATGAGACCATTCTGCATTAAGACAGGCCCTGACTCCAGAGCTGGGCACTCTTACGAGAGGTGGGGGGTAGAGGCCAGGAGCAGGCACACAGACACACAGGGGCAAGGGCACAGCGACACAGAGAGACTGGAACCACAAGCCGAGGAACACCAGGAATCACCAGATGGGAGCGGCAAGGAGGGCCTATCTCTGAGGGCCACTGGACGGAGTGCGGCTCACACGGCCAACACCTTCATTTTGAACTTCTGGCTTCTAGAGCTATGGGAGAATCATCCTCTGTTGCTTTGAAATCACTCGGTTTGTATTCATTTGTTACGGCTGTCCTAACTAATATAATGCCTTAAAACGATTTGCCATATTTTTCTATAATGTTACTTACCCTACAAGGCTATATCTGACAAGAAAAAGGTTTCCTAGTTATCCAATGCTCTTCAGGAGAAAATGCTGGCGGGGGAGGGGGGGGGTAAAAATTGAAAACAACAAACATAGGCAAATTCTGATATGACCACCTTTTTTGTTCATTTATCTTTGCCATTTAGAACATTTTTTAAACAACACAGGGAAGGCAGTGGCAAAAATCAGACATCTTTCAGAACTCTCTGCCAAAGACCCACTCCACACACCCAGATAACAGATATATATGCAAGGACTACAACTACTACACTACAAATGTAGCAGAATTTTAAAAATTTCAAGTATCCTCTTTATTTTGTGCCCATTACATCGCTGTCATCTTATTCAACATTGCTGCTATTATCCTCTGCTACTTTCTCTGCTTCTCTTCTGCTTTCGTTCTTTAATTTCTCCAACTTCTCAAATTATATGTGAAAATGTTGGTATGTGAAATGTTTCTACTTTTATAGGAAAATTTCCAATATTCTTTCTAAGAAATTGATTAAAAAGTAACCAAACAGCACTACATAAAGATTGGGAAATAAAAGAAACAATGACAAAGTTAATATCATTCAGAAACCTTTTCTGAGTGAGGAATTTCTGCCAGCAAAAACAGGCATATCAAAAGCATGTATACTATACTGACATTGGGTTATCACACCTTGGTGAAGATTTTTAATTACACACCTGTGAACATTTTTCATTTTACCTGTTACTTTCATTTAGTAATTTTAATTAAAATTACAGCTTGATTTATCATACACTATCAAGATTACTGTTTTTTAATTTAAAAGTAAATCTTCCAAATAATCATATTTTAAATGGCTCCAGCTTATTCTTATAAAAATAAGAATTGTTTTGATAATAGAAATGCTATTCTCATTTATCTTTTGAAAACACTGCTTAAGGAAGAAAAAATAAAATAAAATAAAAATAGTTAATAAGCAAGTAAGCACAAAAAAGCTACCTGCTGGGAGTCATTTGATTTGAAAGCATCTTTAAGAATCTCAACTGCTCTTGATGGATCAACATATTTCCTTTTAGTACCAACAAGAAGTGCAAAAAGATATCGAAGCTCACGCATAAAAGGCAAATTCCGATGCTCCTATTGAAAAAAAGAAAGAAAAATTCTTAAGTGAAATTAAATTTTTTTACTGGTAAAGGGATACTCATTTAAAAATTAACCAGAAATTTAACTAATATAGCTTAAAAATGAGTCCGGCATCGTATTATAAAAAAAGAAGAGTGCTGGTTTCAGCGAGGAGACAGAAAGGAGTCGAGCATGGGAACAACAGAGCACCCAGCTTAAGCCCACAACTTCAGCATAAACGCCAGATATTCACAGCAAATCATGTCATTACCCAGCCAAGAATATCCTCATTTATGTCTGCTTATTATAATCCTTCCCATTCAGCAAAGCCCAGCTGCTGCTGAGAACAGCAGTACCAAGAGCCTACATTCAATGAGTGTTTAATCACGTACCAGGCACTATTTAAGTACTTGACCCTCAATAAACCCACTTAAGCAAAAAATCCCTCCTCCACCATGAAGTCTTCCCAGGCCCCTCCAAGTCAATGATCTCAACAAACTTCACATCAACTGAAATTAATGTTTTTCACTTAGGAATGAATCACTAACTGAAAGTGTTATGTGATAATCCTAATTATCAGACTGCTGCTGCTAAGTCGCTTCAGTCCTGTCCGACTCGGTGTGACCCCACAGATGGCAGCCCACCAGGCTCCCCCATCCCTGGGATTCTCCAGGCAAGAACAATGGAGCGGGTTGCCATTTCCTTCTCCAAGGCATGAAAGTGAAAAGTAAAAGTGAAGTCTCTCAGTCGTGTCCGACTCTTAGCAACCCCATGGACTGCAGCCTACCAGGCTCCTCCGTCCATGGGATTTTCTAGACAAGAGTATTGAAGTGGGGTGCCATTTCAAATAAGAATGTATCATCCTTCCAGGGTTCCTTTTGCAAGTTCGCTTTTATTTTATGATAAACTGCTAAGTTTCTCAAAGACAAGAACATCTGTATATCTTTCACAACTTTTTGCTAAGCAAAACAAGCATTCAATTCTTTCTGGTTGATTAAACCAAATACTCCAGATGGAACAAAAACAATCAAGTATCATACATAATTCATTTCAAAGTAAGAAGAAAATGTTTTATAAGATTGTAATTCACCTATCTTAGTGAAACTTGATAACAAATCAGACAATTAGTTGTTACTATGGTTAGCTCTTGAAATAAAAATTTTAATAAAGCTTATATATACCATTTAAATATTAGAAAAAAGTTTCAAGTTTGCAGTTTTGTAGGCATGTGTATGTGTGTACAGTTGATGCCCAGTATAATCAATTAATACAGAAACAGCTGCTCTTAAAATGCATCAAAAAAGAAGTCTTAAGAAATAGATGTAAGGAAACAAAACTGATTCCAAATATTTATCTGATTTAAAAACTACAAATCCACTATAGCAGTCAGAAAGTACATAAAGTCTAACATAAAAATGCTAAGTTTTAGAAAACATTTTTAAAAACATGGATTTTATTTAAGCATAATAAATTCTATCATTTATGATAAAGAATAAATGCAAAAGTTTTAAATAAGATAAAAAACTAATTCATGATTTTTCTGTGGTACTTACTATTTCACAAGGGTTTCAAGACTGTAAATACTAACAATTTTAATCCACAAAGTAATTTTCAGAAATACCCTTAATTTCTTGTGCTCAATCTCTTCATTTATCACTACAACTATGGCAAAAAAGCTTGAGTCATTCCTTGCCAAGTAACAAGGACGAAAATAAAATGACTTTTGAAAATTAAGTGAAATTCTGCTAAGAAGAAAATGTTGAAAGTTAAATACATTAATAAAACATTCTTGGCCAATTCAAAACATTCTCTTGGCCAATTCTTGTGGCTAGAAAAATCTTGAAATTTCAAAAGACAAAATTAGTGAATGCTGTTAAGACTAGCCACTATATGCACCATCACATATAGAAACTATTCAAACATGATTCTTAATCTTTTTTTTAACAGATTTACCAAGATATAACTGACGTACAATATACTGTATATTAGTGTACAATTTTACAAGCTTCACATATGTATACATCCATGACTGTATCACCACAATCAGTACTTGCACATCACCCCCAAAACCTTCTTCATCCCTCACTCCCCTCCCTGATCATTCCCAAGCAACCATGGTTACTCTGTATTTTCCAGAGACTTACATATATCAAAATTACACTCCATGTACTCATTTTAGTCTGCTTTCCTGCAATTGGCATAATTATTTTGACCTTCACTTGTATGTACAATCCATTCCATTTTATTGCTGAGTGGGATCCCATTGTGTGGGCAGAACACAACTTATTTATATATTAACCTTTTCCAGCTGCTGCAGATATGATTGGATGTGGCTTTGTGTGGACATGTGATCTCATTCCTCTCCAGACAAGAACCGCAAGGAATTGGTGAGGCTGTATGATATACATTTTTAAGAAACCAACAGTTTTCCAAAGGCACTACATATGCCAGTGAATATATGGAAAATCAAGGGATATGGAACAGCCATAGCAGTTTTACACATATGTAATATTTTACATATTCAGTGGCAGTGGAATGAGAGTTCTAGGTCCACATTCTAGGTTCACATTCACTCTTGGATATGGGCTGTATTTTTTAACTTTAGTTCTTCTAGTGACATCTCTAGTTAAAATTTTCATTAGTCCTAATTTAGACCAGTAACATGGAGCATCTTTTAATATAGTTATTTTCAATCTGTTTATCTTCTTTGGTGTTGCAATCTGTTGAGATACGTTATTTGTCTTACTACTGAACCGTACAAATTCTGTATATATTTTACATACAATTCCTTTTTGTGACGTGTGTTTTGTTATTATATTCTCCCAAACCGTGGTGTGCCTTTTTAATTTGCATGAATTTTTCAAAAACAAACTTTTCATTTTGATGAAGTCCGATTTATTAAAATGTCCTTGTTTAATTTGTGCCAGTTTGTTGGGTACTTAAAAAATCTTTTAATTCAGAACCCTAAAATTTTCTGTTTTATCCATGAATTTTTATAGTCTCAGTTCTTTGTTTCAGGTCTATAGTTCATTACATTTTTTTTCATATATAATGTCTTATAGAGGCTGAAAAGTATTTTTCTTCCTATGACATCATTAGTTCAAAAAATTTTCCTTTGTTCACTGAATTTATTTTGGCAACTTTGATTAAAACCAATGGCCCCTATGTGTATGTTATATTTCTGCACACTCTATTCTCTTCTAATGATCAATATGACTATCTTTTCACCAATAATGTAGTGTCTTGATCACTGTAGCCTGATAATTCCTCTAACACTGCCTTTCTTTTTAAAACTGCTATGGCTATTCCATATCCCTTGATTTTCCACATAAATTTTACAATCTGTCAACTCCTATGAAAATGCCAGCCAAAATTATAATTGTATTGCACTGATTCTATAAGCTGGGGACAAGTGATATCCTAACAATACTTAATCAGCTGATTCATAAACTTACTTCTTTAATTTTTCCCAGTGATGTTCTGTAGTTTTCTGTATCTTTTACCTACTTTCCCTCTAATATTCCATCTTTTATGCTCTTACATAATCATTTTTAAATTCGTATTTCCAATTGTGTGTTGCTGGCACTAAGAAATACAACCGGGTTTTAAGACAGTTTTATTTAGTTAGTTATTTCTGGCTGTGCTGCTGCATGGACTTTTCCCTAGTCGTGGTGAGTGGGGCTACTCTCGTTTCAGCGCACAGGCTCCAGGGCATGTAAGCTCAGTGGTGGGGCGCTGGGGCTTGTTACTCTGCAGCAGGTGGGCTCCTCCCAGATCAGAGCTCAAACCCATGTCTCCTGCACTGGCAGGCGGATTCTTTACCACTGAGCCACCAGGGGAGCCTCTACAACTGAGTTTTGCATGTTCGCCTTGTAACATGTAACACTGCTAAATGATCTGACCCCTTGATTCTGGCACCTCGTTTTTGGTAGAGTACTTAGGATTTTCTAAACAGACAATCAGTCATACACACCAAAAGACAGCTTTGTTTCTTCCTTTCCAGTTTGCCTGCCTATTTCTTTTTCTTGCCATATAGCACTGGTTGAGATCACTAATGTTTAATAAAAAAGTGGTGAGGCCTGACATCCTTGCTTGTCCCTGATCTTTGAAGAAAAGGATTATCTTTCACTATTATTAAAAATATTTGCAGGTTTCTCATAAATGAGCTTCATCAAGATAAAAAAGTTTCTATTTCTAGCTACTGAGAGAGATTTTGCCGAAAATAGATACTAGCTTTGTCAAATCCTTTTCTTCATCTACTGAGCTAGTTTTATGGCTTTTCTCCTCTAAAACTGTTACTATGATGAATTATATTCATTTCCCAACAATAAACCAATCTTTCAGTCTTTCATTGAATCCCACTTGTCAATGAGGTATTGTCCTTTACATGTTTTGAATCATTCAACTTGCCCCAATTCTGACAATTTTTCCTTCTATTATTCATAAGGAATATTGATCTGTAGTTTTCTTTTCTTGAAATATATTTTTCTACTTTTGGTTTCAGTGTAATGTTGGTCTCACAGGGTAAATTGGCAAGTTTTATCTCTTCAATTTTCTGAGAAAACTTGTAGAGAATTGGTATTATTTCTTCCTTAAATGTGTGGTATAACTCACCAATAAATTTTATTGCTATTGATTTTATTTTTGGGTGTCTAAGTTTGAAACTAAAAAATTAATTTCTTTAATATGAAATACACAGCTTATCTTTTCATCAGTTACACTCAATAGCCTTTGGCTTTCAAAATATTTGTCTGTTGTTTATAATATTCCACTATTCTCTTTTACTGTCTGCAGACTATGCAGTGATGTGCGCCTCTTTCGTTTATTTTGGGTTATTTGTTTCTTCTCTTTTTCTTACTCAGTCTACCTAGAAGTTTATCAGTTTTACCAACATTCTTAAGCATCTTGTGATTCCATTAATTTTTCTCTATTGTTTCCCTGATGTCTATTTCATAGATTCACGCTCTTATCTTTATTATTTCCTTTCTTCTGCTTTCAAATTAATCTTTTTTTCTAATTCTCTGACATAATCTATTGCCACTAATTTGAAACTCTATTTTCTAATAAGGCATTTAGTTCATATATTTTCCATTAGCCACTGCTTTTAGCTACATCTATCTAATTTTGATGCATCATTTTAATTTTTATTCAGTTCAGAACACCCTGAAATTTCCATTTTGATTTTTTCATTGTTCCTGGGGTTATTCAGAAGTGTAAATAATTTCCAAATAATGTGGGGATTTTCTAGATATCTTTCTGTTGTTAATTTCTAACTTAATTTCACTGTGGTTGGAAAACATAATCTGTATGCCTTGAATCCTTAAAAATTTGCTAAAACTTGTAAACCCTACTTGTTATACCTTCATGGCCAAAGACAAAAGTTCCAGAATGTTCTCTTTTCATTTTAAAATTCAAAACTCCCTCAGATATTTGCTCAGTAATATATTTATGGTATTAACCCCAAATCATTTCCTTCTCATATGCTTCTCACTTCTGAGTAGGGAGAATATTGTCTATTTGAAAATATTCACCCTAAATCAAGGCTTTAAATAATATAACCTTATGATTAATAAGGTTATTAATTATATGGTGATTACCTCTAAATATTGTAAGCTTACACCTTTTTGTTTTGTCAACATTTAATATATGCTTTCCAATCAGTTCGTGGCTTTTTAAGCCAAAAGAGATTATGTGTGGGAATGGGGAAGGATGAGATGTTTACAGTGAGAATCTATCTTTAAATTTCTAATAATCTCCCAATTCTCCTAGACATTAAGATTACAAATAGCACAAATAAATATGGTTTTCAATTATTCTGTCACTTTATGGCTAAAGATTACAGCCCAAAAAGCTGGTTAAAAATCAAATTATATTCCCATCAGCTTGCATTATAAATGTTCCACATTTATAATGTGTGCAGGAAAAATTGTTTCAAAATGATAGACTAAAAAGAAAACATAATTTAATAATATATCATTACAACTAACAAAAGATCACACGGAGTTCAACACTTTACTGAAACCTAAAACTTCACTTCTTTGTCCTTGTCTTTATGGCTAGTTTCTTTATGATAAGATCATTAAGTCTCACAGTCAAGCATATTATCTCCATAATTAATCTTTTTCATTAAGTATGAATTTTTGAATGTGAATCAGTCCTGTCTTCTGAAAAGCTAATATGAACAATATAACTAGCAACAGCTGACACCCGGTACTGACTATTGAGAGAGTTAATTCCTAGGTAGGTTGATAAGGAGTCCGGGCTCTCAAGGAGGAAACAGGGACACATGGTTTTTCCTACATTGACTGATTTTAGTCTCATGAGATGTTTTTTCTTAAACTCTGAGTTATGACAACAATCTTTAAGACTAACTTTCTTTACACAATAAAACTCATCTTGCTCAAAGGTATGTTTTTCCTTAAGCTCTGTACTAATGATTATTTAACAATGTATCTTGCTCAAGGACATGTTTCTTCTTTTTAACAAGAACCTTCTGACTAATTTGGTATCTTAAGACATATGTTGTGGGAGTGGGTCTGGTAAGACCCTTCTTTGTTAGTTCTAATCTTGTTAATTTAAGATGTTTGTTGTGGGAGTGAGTCTGGTAAAAGTATATAAGGCCTGGATAAGACTAGCAAGTGGGGCACCTCTGTCCCCCTTCTGATGTCTAGGTCAGAAGCATTCTCTGTCCTTTTTCACTGTAATAAAACTTCTGCCATACAAAAGCTCTGAGTGATCAAGCTTGGTCCCTGGTCCCAAAGCTAAATCTTCTTCAGGACAACTTTAACTGTAAGCTACCACTATGTACCAGGTACTTCTAAGCCCTTTATCTGATTTAATTTTTTTTGGTTATTGTTCTGTTATCTCATTTAATTCTCACAGAAGCTCTATAAAACAACTGCTGTCCTTATTTTCAGATTAGAAACTAGCAGCAATTACATCAAGTAACCAGCTCTGGGGCCAGAACCCAGGCAATGTGGCTCTGCCCTCTGTGCTCTCTGTCATGTTACATTGCCCAATAATATTACAAATTGTAGACTCACACTGCAAAAACAGGGCAAAACTAACCTTTTAAAGAATTCGTCTACAGAAATAAATGAAAAATGTTTGATTGTCGCACAATTTTTGAGGAGGAAAGACCCTGAATTGTAAATGGCAGCCTATTACTCTGACATTCTAAAAAGAAGAAAGCAATTACTAAAGTGAAACCAAAAAAACAGCCTATTACTGACACACATGTGTAGAAAAATTCATATTTACAATATACTGACCAAGAATAGTTAAGTTACTGTTGTAGTTGAGACTAACAGGTTGACATTCAGATTTGACACTGCTTCAGATTTGATTTCACAAATATCCCAAAAGCAAACTTTCCCCCATGGATCAGTGGGTAAGAATCCACCTTTAATGCGAGAGACACAGGAGATGTGAGTTCCATCCCTGGGTTGGGAAGATCCTTTAGAATAGGACATGGCAACCAACTCCTGGAAAAGTCTGTGGACAGAGGAGCCTGGCAGGCTGCAGCCCATGGGGTTGCAAACGGTCAGGCACGACTAGGCACATGGCATGGCACCAGAAGCAAACACAGAAGAATATGCTCGACTTAAAAGTCTTTCATAATTTTACCTTTTGGTTTCGGGGTAAATCTTGAACATTTGATGGAGGCTTGTAATTCAGAACTAATCTTCTGAATTCCAAAAGATTGAATAATGACTGAAAAAGAACAACAATTTAAGATAACCAAAGGGAAAATTCTATTAACAGAACTATAAAAATATGACTAGTCTGAGAGATTTATTTTATATACAGAATATTTCCCACTAGCACAAGAAGGCCTATTTTCTCCCTAAGAAAAAGTCACACTTCTTTTATTTAGACATATGCTTGATCATTAACAATATTTATTGTACTGCAAAGCAGAAAATTATACTTGGACAACTCAAAAAATATAATATGTATTATTAAAAGTTTTCTATGTGCCTAAGCAGTTTCCCCAAAATTAAATGTATACAAATGCAAACTCAAGAACTTTTTCAACATATTAAGTACAACATGAGTTTTCTAGAGGTATCAATTCTACAAAAATACAGTACAAATAAATCTATAGGCCAGATGCCAGGTTATAGAGACTCAAAGAAATTATGTATTATCACTAATGGTCAAGGAGACACAGTTTAGGAAGGAAACAATATTTAATTAAAACAACAGCAATGTTACACAAAAATACAGTAATACTGATCACATAGAGTATAATGAAAGCATATGGAAAGACGCTCATGGAAAAGTTTCCTGGAGCTACCCTTTTAAACTATAGCTTGCAATCCATTAATGTCAAGATAAACATTAACTTTAAAAAATGAAATAAAATGTAATGGAAAATATTAGAACATGTCATAGAGTAAATTTACCAGAGTATTATTTATAAAATTTTCATTGGTGAAATTGTCATACATATGTGTAAAGTGTTTCACAATGTAAAATGTATTCCTTTCTGAGTCGTAGTTTATGAAGTTTGAAAATCATTGCACAAGAGGCGATGATGCATTAAAATCTTAGTAAAAGATGGGCTAGCCAACTTGCTAGGAAATAAACATAGCATCATAAGCCAATAAGGAAACAAAAATTTGTTTAGTATTGGATGTTGGGAAAACTGGTCCACTATAAATAGAGTCAGATACACATGTACACAGATGCAAATCAAAGACCTATATATAAAACGGAAAACCATAAAACTGATAATTGTGACCTGAAGTATTTCTTTAGTAAACAATATGAACATATTCATTTATGCATTCTTTTAACAAATATTTATGGAGCACCCACAACATGCCAGACACAAGGAAGACAGGCAGCAGAGAGTAAAACACACCAAGTTGTTTCCGCCTTTCATACCATCTTGTGATTGCAATTTAAAACAATAAGAGTGGATGTTATAAACTAGAAAGAACGTGAATACAATAGACCAAAATCAGAAACTTAAGAAGCATTTAAAAGCCAAAGGAAAAAGAGGTATAAAACAAAATATGAATAGTAATAGAAGTGGCGAGTCTGAGGGCACAGAAAAAAAAGGAGTAGAGAAAGCTTTCAAACATAGTTGTGCATCAGAGTAACAGCAGAGCTTTAAAAAATGTTTATGTCTGGAATTTCTCAACAAAGATATAAAGTACCAGAGATTCTGAAGTACATGAATCAGTCACTGGCAAATTTCATGAAGGAGAAGATTAGTAAAGGTTGGAGGTTGCCCCATCCAAAGAAGGTAAGGGCAGGAAAATATTCTTTATATTTAGCAGTTGGGAAGTCACCTTTCCAATAAGATGGTAAGATAGCACCAATGAGTCCTAAAGAAATGGGATAAAAGTAGAGGTCAAAGTATGGACTGTTCTTACCAGGGATTTATGTAGGAAAAAGAATGACAAATCTAGAGAAGCTGAATCCACTTCTGTCCTCTGAGCTCCTACTGAAAAATATTTTTTCTTCTTTTTGAACACCCTTTAGATTTCCCCTGGCGTGGGTCTTTACTAGTTATAGAATTTGAGATGGCCAGTTATCTTTTCCCAGCACGTTAAATATAGCATTTCTGCTGAGAAGCCAACTGTCAGTCTTATTTTTGCTCATTTATTGAAGCAATATATCTTCTTCCTACTGGCTACTTTCAGGGTTTTCTCAGTTTTGAGTTCTTTCTATTTTACTATGATGTGCTTTTGTGCAGTATTCTTTATGTTCATACTACTTGGTTCCTATTGCTTCCCGAATCTGTGGCTTGATTTCTTTCATCAAGTTCACAATATTCTTCGTCATCTCTTCTAATAGTGTTTTTATCCTATTTCCTTTTTAGTTTCCCTCTGGAACCACAAATAAACCGTGTTAGTACAATTTACTCCATGTCCAAAATATCTCTTCTATGCTCTCATCTGTATTTCATGGCTTGAGTGTGAAAATGTTCCTCAGACAAACTGTCCAGTTGACTAATTCTCTGGTCACACTGTGTATCCTTCAGTTGTGTCTAATATACTGCAAAATTCATCCATTGATATCCTAACTTAATTTATGATATTTTTCAGCTCTAAAATTTCTTCTTTAATAGTTTTTAGTTTTCTATCAAAAATTCTCAGTTATGCTTCTAATTCCTTAAGCATATTAGTAGTTATATAACAAACCATTCAATTTTAACTTTTACCTACATAGTTAGATTTCTAATTATCCATTATTTTCTCTTAATTTGGGGACATGTCTTATTTTCTGATATGACCAATTATGAATAACTGAGGGCTAGACGCTGTATGTAAAAAACTGGAGAAAGTTCAAAGTTCAAGATGGTATTATCTTCCACAAAAATTTACATTTCCTTCTGGCAGGCAGCAAGACTAAAGCATTTGCAATCCTATATTACCTTGATCCAATCAATTATGAGATGATCTTAAGCTGGGATTCACAAGTTATAAAGCCTGGCCTCTACTCAATTCTCAGGCAATCCTAGAGTCTAGCCCTTTAGAACTCAACTGAAAATCTTAGGTGTTTCCAAGACTTTCAATCTTGTGTGAAACTCTGCTTAGTTTCCAGCCAATCAGCAGCCACTTCTAAAATCGCCTCAAAGATCAGTTCAGTTCAGTTGCTCAGTCACGCCAGACTCTTTCAGACCCCATGGACTGCAGCACCCCAGGCTTTCCTGTCCATCACCAACTCCCAGAGTTTACTCAAACTCATGTTCACTGAGTCGTTGTTGCCATCCAACCATCTCATCCTCTGTCATCCCCTTCTCCTCTGGCCCTCAATCCTTCCCATCATCAGGGTCTTTTCCAATGAGTCATTTCTTCACATCAGGTGGTCAAAGTACTGGAATTTCAGCTTTAGCATCAGTCCTTCCAATGTATTCAGGACTGATTTCCTTTAGGATGGACTGGTTGGATCTCCTTGCAGTCCAAGGGACTCTCAAGAGTCTTTCTTCTCTAACACCATAGTTCAAAAGCATCAATTCTTTGGCGCTCAGCTTCCTTTATAGTCCAACTCTCACATCCACACTTGATTACTGGAAAACCCATAGCTTTGACTAGACAGACCTTTGTTGGCAAAGTATGTTTCTGCTTTTTAATATGCTCTCTACGTTGCTCATAGTTTTTCTTCCAAGGAGTAAGCATCTTTTAATTTCATGTCTGCAGTCACCATCTACAGTGATTTTGGAGCCCCTCAAAATAAAGCCTTTCACCGTTTTCCATTGTTTCCCCATCTATTTGCCATGAAGTGATGGGACCAGATGCCATGATCTTAGTTTTCTGAATGTCGAGCTTTAAGCCAACTTTTTCAATCTTCTCTTTCACTTTCATCAAGATGCTCTTTAGTTCTTCTTTCCTTTCTGCCCTAAGTATGGTGTCATCTGCATACCTGAGGTTATTGATATTTCTCCCAGCAACCTTGATTCCAGCTTGTGCTTCATCCAGCCCAGCGTTTCTCATGATGTACTCTGCATATAAGTTAAATAAGCAGGGTGACAATATATAGCCTTGATGTACTCCTTCTTCGATTTGGAACCAGTCTATTATTCCATGTCCAGTTCTAATTGTTGCTTCTTGACGTGCATACAGATTTCTCAGGAGGCAGGTCAGGTGGTCTGGTATTCCCATCTCTAAGAATTTTCCACAGTTTGTTGTGATCCACACAGTCAAAGCCTTTGGTGTAGTCAATAAAGAAGAAGTAGATGTTTTCTCAAAGATAAAACAGCCCAAAAAATGAAGCTTACTGTCTGAAAATCCTGTTCTCTCAAAGTGTAGCCTCAAAATTCCTCAATGCTTTAGGGCTTACGATGCCTTCAAACACTGGTTTCATTTTTGTTTTTAGACTCCAGCAATATATGACCAAGTGGATGGCTGAAAAGAACTTAATATGCTATTACCCAAAGCAGAATTGATGACCATAGATTATCACAACAAATCACAGGAACTCATTTTAAGCCCCAATCTATACTCTAGATCGGGCATAGTAGTAGTATTGGTCAACATATTTCTTCAAAAGGGGTGGGAAAGTATAATCGCCACTACTGTCTAAATTACATTTATGAGGCATACACATTGAAAACAAGTATCCTTTTATTGAGCTCAAAGCCAGTATATGAATTCTGAAATCTGTTAAGAATTTGACTAAACTCGTGGAGGGTGAGAGTTTAAATACATAATTTATGGAAAACAAAAAAAGTGATGACAAGAGAGCAGGAGATAGAAACTCTCTATGATGAAAGATACTAAGGAAAACCAACAAAAATTCTCCTTGGTGGATTATTAATATTTAAAAATGAAATAGTAACAGATAAGTTTCAAAGTGTGAGAAAAAGAGTGGCCTGATTAAAAGATGAAAGTCTGTATACAGAGCAATTAAATCCCTTTGGCCTTCCCAGACGGAGAGGTATCAGACAACTACTCTCTCCTTCTGTGGAATATAGGAAAATTTAGACTTGGAATATAACTGAACTGAACTGACTCAGGTTCATAAACCTTATCATCCAACCCACAACTCTTCTGAGGACGAAAAAGGGCTCTACAATGAATTAATAAGTGCTGACGCATCTACAATAGGAGTAAACTGGGACTGTACCAGGCAAACCAAGAAGCAGAGGCACCTTACTCCTGAGCATCTCAGAGGATTCCAAATGGGCATGGTGCTAAGGGCCATGAGAACTCATGAATTACTTGAACTTAACACCCCAAACTAGAGAGAGGAACAGAGTAGAAAAAGCAGCCCCAAAGAGTACCATCTGCATAAAAGTTGCTTTTGAACAGGATGAAAATAATCCTGACTAGTTAAGTGGTTGATACCCAATCTAAAGACAGTCAGGCTAATATTGTTAGCATCCAAAAGTTATGTAAGCCACTCTCTGCATAATTTCTTTTTGCTAACAATCCCTTCCTGATATTCTGTTCTTCTTTTCTTCCAACATACTTAGGTCTGAGTACCTAAAGGACCAAGTATAACAAAGCTGTACCTTCTGTAGCTTACCCACCGTTACCTACTCTGAAGTTAGAGGTTTGTAATTCCTGTAAACTATAATCATTAGAAATACTTTTAAAGAAGAGAATTCCCAGTTGTTTCACACTAGTCTTGCCAACTAAGTAAATTCCATCCCTGAGAAAATTTTTGTAACTGAAACTTTATAGTGCATTTATGTCACAATTTGGACAAGTTCCAACTTGCTTTGAAAAAAAATTAAAAACTCCCAACACTAATACAGATTTCCTACCCAAAGTTCCTTTCATAAGTGAAAAGTTCAATTAATTATCATAAACATATTTTAGATGTCTGTTGAATTAAGTAAATGTCAAGGAATGAAAAAATAAAATATTTCAATTACTAGAAGTGAAAATTAAAAGCTACTTAAAATGGTTTAAGAGACTTTAAAGTTACATTCAAAAACAAAGCAAAGTTATCACTAGACAAATTTTTTTTTCCCATCCACAATTTCCTAAACTGAAGCTTCCTGTTTTCCTACATTCCCAAAAGACAGTATCCTATTACTTCATTAGAAGCCAAAATTTTCAAGGTTATATTATTTCTTCTAGATGTTTAAAGCACCAATTCTAACTAACAAATACTGATTCTCTGCAAGCACTTTCTTACTTCCTACAGTTTTCTAAGAGAAGCTGCTAATCACTGAGCCTCACTTACTGGCCGTAATAGTGTAAAGGTAGCACCCAAACACAGGCAGCAAAACATACTCATAAGCACTCAGATCACAGCCTTAAAACTGTGTTTCACATTTTAAAGTGACAACTAAATTATGAAATTTAAACAATGAAATGCAAAAGAATTTACTAGCAGTGCAAGTATTAAGATAGCAAATAAAATTTGAGCTACTGCTAGCATGTAAGTGGATAATTAATGCATACTCAAGACCAAAAACAAAAGTATTATTACAAATTCATGTTAATTCCAAGTATTCCTTAATATTTTAATAGCCTGGGAAACAAATAACATATCGTGTTATTAAATGGTGTGTACCATAGTTGAATAAAAGTGAAGCACGAAACCAGAAAACCAAAGAAAACCAAATTGTATAATACTATTTGCCAGAAGCAAAAAGACAGAAAAGAGCTGGAAATTATAACAATGAAGTAGAAAAAAAAAATTAATCACCTAGAGAACACAATTAATAACCTTTAGAATAGAAAAATTTAATAACCTGTTAGTTGCTTTAATAGCATATGAAAGTTAATACTGTATTCAGGTTGGAAACGGACAAAATGAAGAGGTATTTTGGATGTAAAATAATGTAAATTAGAAAACATCTACTGATTTAAAAAGACTCATCAGAAACACTAAATGAGCTACAGTTCAGCTATATTAGGAAATTAAGCACAAATATTAATTTTCCTAAAGAGTAATTAAAACTAAGAGCATGTTATTATTCATAGGTTATTTAACTTAAGGAGATTATTTAGTTTAAGGTTTCACAATTTGAAAGATAACATTACCAATGTCTGAGAATACTAAAGAATTATGACAACAGTCATATCATGTAAGAGTTAAAAAAAAAAACTAGTCCAAATTGAAAAGATGGTTATCTATGCATACAAATATTTTTCACTTTAGAATAAGAAGCTCAATAAAAAATTCCAAGTTAGAAAGAAAATGTTATTCTTAATTTATTTTTATTCTTTCATTCTCACATATGTATTAAGAATTATTTGTCAATCTATTTCCTCCTGAAATAAAATGTCCTCTTTTATTAAAAAAGTACTTAAATGACTATAATTACTGAATGACATTTTCTATTATAGATAAATCTGATCTGACTCACACACACACAAAAAAAACAGTCTTGGTTTCCTATCTTGGTTATAAAGTGAAGTGTTAGTCACTCAGTTAGGTCCGACTCTTTGTGACACCATGGACTGTAGCCCACCAGGCTCCTCTATTCGAGGAATTTTCCAGGCAAGAATACTCGAGTGGGTAGCCATTCCCTTCTTCAGGGGATCTTCCCAACCCAGGGATCAAACCTAGGTGTTTTGCACTGCAGGCAGATTTTTTTTTTGTTTTTTTTGTTTTTACCATCTGAGCCACCAGGGAAGCCCCATCTTGGCTATGTTCTTTCCTAAATTTGCAGGGATTTATATACAAAAATGTTTTCTTTTCACTCTGACAATTCCCAACAACAGAGAAGGAGGAGAAATTAATTCTGAATAAGGCATTGGCAGTGTTTTATCATGAAAAGTCCATATTGGGAATGAAGAACAAAGTAGAGTGGGGAATACTGCAATCACCAAACTAGGTTAGTAGAAAGGCATATTAAAACCTTGTTTGCAGTTAGTAGAAAGGCATATTAAAAGCTTGTTTGCAGTGTGTGTGTGTGTAATACTGCAATCACCAAACTAGGTTAGTAGAAAGGCATATTAAAACCTTTTTTTTTTTTTTTTTTTTTTTTACATGTATTCCCCATCCCGGTCCCCCCTCGCACCTCCCTCTCCACCCAATCCCTCTGGGTCTTCCCAGTGCACCAGGCCCGTGCAGTGTGTGTGTGTGTGTAACTAAAAAGAAACACAACTCCAACCCACTTTTCACTGCTGCCAGGCCCACCACATAAGACCTGCATAAAGATCCTTACCTGAATAACAGCACTAAACCAGCAAGTATTGCCAACATTCTTTAGTCCAACAGGAGCTTTGTCCTGCCTTTTTCTATCGTAAGGGTTTCGAGAATCTCTCCAAACTTCAGTTGGTGTCCTCTTCAAACATGCTTTATTTTCCGCTATGCTGGCCTCAAGAACTCTTAAACGATGGATAGAAAATAATGGTGAAAAAAATACAGCATTAATTTAGCACTGTATGGTAAAAAAGAGCATACTATAAACTAAGGATTTTGATAAATTAAGGTCTAGACAATGCATTTGGAAAAGGAATACTTAACACTAAATTTGCTCAAGTGGATTCTAGTTTTCTAGAACATAGCATAGTTCTAGTTTTCAAGAACAAAGCAGTAGCAATGCTAATAGATCAAAACACAGGCAGCAGTTTTTCCTCAGAAAACAGATTTTAATCGCAAAAAGATAGCATTACATAATAGGAAATAGATATATTAAGTTATATTTCAACAAATTAGAGGCTTAATATCAGGAATATAGTACCTAGATAAGTGTTCTGAAAAGTCATTGTATTAAAGTACATATTTACAATATACATAATGATTAACTTTTATAAGAATTTCTTTGAATCATAAGAAAATTAAAAATGGAAAAACACTGCACTTTCATCCCTCTGATCATTAATTCCCTTTTCTATTTAAAAAAATAAGTTAAGGTAAAATCTAGGGTTCCTTTCAGTTCTACAGATCCATACTCTACAACAGCTACTGAAAAATAAGGGGACAGAATATTTATGTGTTCACTTCATTTCCAATAGTTTGCCTAGAGAAAAATCTACTGTAATAAACACCTACATATCAGAATAGTAAAAGATAAACCTCTTCAAAATAAGTACATCTACAGAATATCTAAAACATATCTAAACATGACTAACAGTAATGCTACTCTGCTGAATGGTGTTTATCTTGCTCTTAAGCAAGAAAATGCTGAAAAACCCTAATCCCTACATATAATCTAACATGCATTTTGCCTACTCAAGACATGTGTTACTTACTATTCCAAATTATCATGAATAACAGCCAAATATCTTAACTCATTTTATGTTCACTACAAAAATCTCAGTTAGTATGAGTTTTTTCAACTTTTTGCCTTCTTGAAAAAAAAATCTCATTCATGCTACACTATTTTTATCCTAAATATTTTGCTCTATTAGATCAATATCAAACTAATACAGCGATCTTTCTTAATTATAGAGAAGCAGAATATTTTTCATCTCTAACTGTAATATGACCTTATATACAGTGCATTAGATTCCAAATCAGTATTACTTAAAATAACTTATATGAATATAGGATAGAGTTTTTCTTTGGGAATCAATTAAATCACATACTGGGTGGGGGGGAGCAGAAAACATGATCCATTAAAATGTAAAGGTCAAAGTAAACTCACATATTTAAAAATAAACAGTTTACACTTTTAAGAGTGATCTAACATTAGCAGCAGTACTCTCTGCCCAACTATCAACTCTAAGGAATCTCAGCCCCTAAAGGCTTTTTCTCTTAAATTATTTAACAATAAACAGTGCTAGAACTCCTTGGAAGGTATTTAGTTAGATGATTCGGGACTTGAGAATATCAATGTTTATCTGGAACATCCCACTCTAATCAAAAACGAGTTCTCAAGAACATAAAAGGGAAGTAAGTCAAAGAGCCAACTTGAGAGACTTTCTACTGTTCCTTGCACAATTTAGCAAGACACAAGAAAAATCAACTGTACAAATTAAATTTGTACAAGGTGACCACTTCGAAAGAGAGAAGTTAATACATAGTATACAAAAGGTAAATATAACACCAAAGTCTGTTTTATATAAAAAAGGTATATTTAATCATTTATTGACTTTCATAAGTGGGAGCAATTTTCATTTGAAAAGTCTGTTCCTTTTGTTACATATGTATATCTAGAAGTATAAATTAATGAATCTTATTTCTACACTGGTAATCAGAAATGAGCAAACTAAAACAAGCAATGGGTTCTGGGAAAAGTAGCAAATATATTATAAACAGGAAAGAATTAGTGCCAATGGTCATTTATTAGTTGGTGCAAAAGTAACTGCAGTTTCAGATCCTGAATTTTAAATCATTTTAACAAGGTTCAAACATACCTATGCTAAATCAAAATAGGAACCATTACAATTAACACATTTTTTCCCAATGAGAAATGTCTGTTTATTCCTACAGCATAAAAATCTGTGTTTTGGGATTCACCAAACTATTGGAAAGCATTTTCCACCTACTGCTGGTTGTAGAAATGTTTTCCCTGCAAAAAGATGTCAAGATGCTTGAAGAAGTGGTAGTTGGGTGGCGAGAGGTCAGACGAATATGATGAGGCAAAATTTCATGGCCCAATTTGTTCAACTTCCGAAGTTATGTGACATGTGGTCAGGCATTGCTGTGGAGAAGAACTGGGTCTCTTCTGTTGACAATGCCAGCTACAGCTGTTACAGATTTCAGTGCATCTCATCAATTTGCTGAGCATACCTCTCAGATGTAATGGTTTCCCTGGATTCAGAAAGCTATACTGATCAGAGGGCAGCAGATCACCAAACAGTAGCCATGACTCTTGGTACAAGTTTGGCTTTGGGAAGTGATTTGGAGCTTCTTCCCAGTCCAACCACCGACTGGCCATGGGCACGCTGTCATCTAAAACCCGCTTTTCATCACATGTCACAGTCTGATCGAGAAACGGCTCACTGTTGTTGCATAGAATAAGAGAAGACAACATTTCAAAATGGCAATTTTTTAATTTGTTCATGAGGCGCCCACTTATCAAACTTTTTCACCTTTCCAATTTGCTTCAAATGCCACATAACCTCAAAATTGTCAACACTGAGTTCTTGGGCAACTTCTCTGTGTAGTTTTAAGAGGATTAGCTTCGATGATGGCTCTCAATTGGTCATTGTCAACTTCTGATGATCAGCAACTGAGCTCCTCATCTTCAGGGCTCTTGTCTCAAAAGTTTTGCAAAACTTCTTGAACCACCACTGAACTGTACGTTTCTTTAGCAGTTCCTGGGCTCTATGCATTGCTCATATTGAGTTGTCTTTGCTGCTTTACTACCCATTTCAAACTCAAACAAGAAAATTGCTCGAATTTGTTTTTTTCCCCCTAACATCATTTTCATATATAAAATATAGATAAACAGCAAGTAATAAATCATTAGCAAAAAAAAAGAAATGTGCATTTTAATGACATATAACTACATTTAAAAATTTATTCCAATATCAAACAGCAAAGTTCAACAATGCAAAACCACAATTACTTTTGCACCAACCTAATATAAAAGGCAGAAGAGGCATCCAGCAACTGACTAGCACTTGTGGGCAGGTATAATAACCATTAAAAAAAATTCTATAGTATATTCCAAAAGCATAAACTAGTCGAAAGTCAAGGAGAACTACACTCATTCTCCTAGGTGGATGATCCTCTACCACTATATGCTTTTAAACTTCTAGTTGTAATAAAATACTAACTTAAAACTCTAGTTATAATAAAATGAAATAGAAATAACCCTTTTTAATGCCAACACATCAGATCACTTGTATCATAATGACCAGGCAACAGGTTACGTAGACATTAGTTATGGAAAACTTCAGAAGAGTTGATTTCTACAAAATACACCCAATCGACAAAAATTAAAATGTATACGTAGTCACATGAAGTCAGTAACAAAATGAGACTCGGCCTCAAGACAACACTGAGTAAAACTAGGTCTCCTGCTCCCCATACCTGTCAACGACCCATTCCAAATCTACAATTCAGACTGCTCTGAGGTAACAATATTCTTCTAATTCCAGATCTAGTTAAGATTACTAAAAACTAGAAGGTATTATTTTTAAATGTTTCAATACAGTTAATTCAGTCACCCTCTCTTCAGTCCCTTCCCACCAAGAAAATACATCTCTTGATTTTTATGGTGGGAAATGTATGGCCTCCAATGTATTTTCTAGGACCGAGCAGCTTACCTGAACTTTTTGTTACAAGCTAGGAGGGAAAGAAAGTCAAGAATATAAACTGAAGATACCATCTCCCCAGCATTCCCATGGATCTTTTTTTCTACAAAGGAAAAATTGGACACAAACTGTAATAACTGAATAGAGCTCAAGATATACATGTTCCCTGCTTCTCAAAGTGAACTAAGATATAAAAAGATTTTCAAGTATATGTGTATGTGTGAAAGTGAAAGTCGCTAAGTCGTGTCCGACTCTTTGTGACCCCAGGGCCTACACAGGCCATGGAATTCTCCAGGCCAGAATACTGGAGTGGGTAGTCTTTCCCTTCTCTATGGGATCTTCCCTACCCAGGGATCAAACCCAGGTATCCAGCATTGCAGGCGGATTCTTTACCAGATGAGCCACAAGGAAAGCCCTTATATGCATGTGTACACATAATTAAATGTATGTTATATATATAACTGAATTCTGTCACATGGTAGAGATCATCATACATTATAATAAAAATACAAGTTTTAAAGATATAGACTTATAATTCTCTGTATGTGTGTGTTAAGTCGTTCAGTCAAGTCCAACTCTTTGCAACCCTATGGACTGTAGACCACCAGGCTCCTCTGTCCCTGGGATTCCCCAGGCAAGAATACTGGAGTGGGTTGTCATTTCCTCTTCAAGGGAAGTAGACTATTGAGAGTCCCTTGGATAGCAAGGAGATCAAACCAGTCAATCCTAAAGGAAATCAATTCTGAATAGTCACTGGAAGGACTGATGCTGAAGCTGAAACTCCAATACTTTGGCCACCTGATGCGAAAAGCCAACTCAGTGGAGAAGACCGTGATGCTGGGAAAGACTGAAGGTAAGAGGAGAAAGGGAAGGCAGAGGATGAGATGGTTGCATGGCTTCACCAACACAATGAACATGAGTTTGAGCAGACTCTGGGAGATGGTGAAGGACAAGGAAGCCTGGTGTGCTGCAGTCCACTGGGTCACAAAGAGTCAGACATGACTGAGTGACTGAAGAAAAAGCACCACCACCTCCAGAGGATCTTCCAGACCCAAGGGTCGAATCCATGTCTCTTGTGTCTCCAGCATTAGCAGGTGGGTTCTTTACCACTAGTGCTACCTGGGAAGCCCTACAATATTCCTTAACCATGTGATAATATGGTAGAAATATGGTACCTA